TTATTGTTGATATACAAGCCCTATATCACCAAGTAATGACACACCTCTTGCCTTCAGTTTGCCCATGCTTACTTAGTAAGTTTGATGACTAAGTTGTATATTTTTATTTGACAGACAACATGATTTAGTAATAAGAGACAATAGCCTAGACAGAGGAATCAGGAGTTTTAGGTCCTCTTGTTCTCTTACAGCTAAATTGTGGCAAATTACCAAATTTCTGAGTCTCAGATTGCTCTCCTGTAAAATGGAAATTTTAAAAGCCTATTACTAGTCTGGGAACCAAATGGAAAAATAAATATAAAAGGGCTTTTCAAAATATACAGTTCTTCATTGATAAAGCATCATTTATCTTGTTTCTGTCCCTAAAGGGAGTTAAATTTGCCTTAAGTCCTCTACTCCCTCTCAACTAGTCCTCCTCCTTAAGAACAACTTAGAATATTCAGTTGTAAAATAGATGCCCCAGTTAGGGGTATGGCTACAATAAAGCCACTGTCCCCAAAAGAAAATGAATCTACAGCTAAAGTTAGTGAGACCATACAAGGAAGAAAGTGGTCTGATTGATCTCATATTACAGTTTCAAGAAGGAGCAGACGAACTCCATGAACACTGAGTTATTCGCTGTCAAGATGCATGATGTCCAATCAGTTCATTCTGATTTGTGGAATGTCATTAGATCACTAGCATCTAATAGGTGGATGAACTCAGTGTACTCAGGGGTGAACAGGTGTCTCACAGCTGGGAGCTGCCAGAGGGTCAAGGTGCAATCATGAATGATGTTTTCTGAAATTAGCTCTGATGATTCTAATATTGAAAAACATTGTTCCACAGAGAAATTTTTCAAAGAATACACAGAGCATTTGGTAAATATGGGATTGAACACTGGAAAATTTAAAATAATTTTGTTTCATTATAATCACTGAATGGCAATGTACAGAATTCCATCTCTACAGTTGAAATTGCATCTCCATACAATAGACAACTGGACCTGAAGCTTAATATCTTGAATGGACATTACCATGATAACACATATAAATTACCACAATCAAGGTGAACAAAGGTGAAATGATGCTGTGGTTATTTTTAAATATTTCTGCCTAGCATTAGTTGGATAGACTCAGCCAAACTTTGGGCCTACTTCTCTGCTCCGATGATGAGAAGTGACATAAAAGTAACAAGGATAACCTTACACAGCACAATATATGTTTAAATAGCAATTTGCAAATTACACTTCCAGAAGCAAGGTTATATCATCTTGTATTTGACAAAATGATTGGTTTGCAAAGGAAGGAGGATCCTACCTGCCCATTGTTCCAGCATTAGCACTACTTTTTCCAGCTTGCCTCATAAATCCTGGAATAAGGTAACTGATTTCCATCTATAGGCATACTTTGGAGATATCACAAGTTTTGTTCCAGGCTACCACAATAAAGCAAATATTGCAATAAAGCAAGTCGCAGGATATTTTTTGGTTTCCCAGTGCACATAAAAGTGACACTGACACTACAAAGTAGTGTATTAAGTGTGCAATAGCATTATGTCTAAAAAAAGTATATACCTTAAGAAATATTTTATTGCTAAAAAATGCTAACATTCATCTAAGCCTGAGTCTTAATCTTCTTCCTGGTGAAAAGTCTTGCCTCAATGTTGATGGCTGCTGACTGATCAGGATGGTGACTGCTGAAGGTTGGGATGGCTGTGGCAATTTATTAAAATAACACGACAAGGTTGGCTGCAGCAATTGACTCTTTATTTCACAAACCATTCCTCCATGATACGCAATCTCGTTGAAGGCGTTTTACCTGCAGTAGAACTTCTTTCAAAACTCAAGTCAATCCCCTCAAACTCTGGACTGCTTTGTCCACTAAGTTTATGAAATATTTTTAAAATTTTGCTGTCATTTCAACAATGTTCACAGTATTTTCCCAGGAGTGTATTCCCTCTCAGGAAACCAGTTTCTTGGCTTATGTATAAGAAGCAATTCTTCATCCATTCAAGTTTTACTATGAGATTGCAGCAGTTCAATCATATCTTCAGACCCCACTTCTAACTCTAGCTCTCCTGCTGTTTCCACCACATCTGCAGTTACTTCCTCCATTGAAGTCTCAATCCCCTCAAAGCTGAGACTTTGAGTCTCTGGGTGTTGGAATCAACTTATTCCAAACTACTATTGATGATATTTTAACCTCTCCCATGAATCTCAAATGTTGTTAATGACATACAGAATAGTGGATCTTTTCCAGAAGTTTTCAATTTACTTTGTCTAGACCCATCAAAGGAATTACTATCTATGTCATCTATAGTCTTATGAAATTTATTTCTTAAATAATAAGATGTCAAAGTTAAAATTACTCTCAATCCATGGGCTGCAGAATGGGTTTTGTATTAACAGGCATGAAAACAACATTAATCTCCTTGTACATCTCCATCAGAGCTCTTGGGTGACCAGATGCATTATAAATGAGTGGTAATATTTTGAAACAAATCTTTTTTTTTTTTTTTTTTTCTGAGCAGTAGGTCTCAACAGCGGGCTTAAAATATTTTGTATATCTATGTTATAAGCAGATGTGCTGTTATTCACACTTCATTGTTCCATTTATAGAGTACAGGCAGAATAGATCTAGCATAACTCTTCAGGGCCCTAGGAGTTTGAGAATGATAAATGAGTATTGGCCTCAAATTCAAGTCACTAGCTGCATTAGCCCCTAACAAGAGAGTCAACCTGTCCTGTGATGTTTTGAAGCTATGAAAGTCCTAGATGGCATTTTCTTTCTATAGAAAGCTGTTTTATCTACATGGAAAATCTGTTGTTTTGTGTGGCCACATGCTTCAATTATTTTAGCTACATCTTCTGAAAAACTTGCCACAGCTTCTACAACAGCACTTGCTCCTTCACCTTATACTTTGATGTTATGGAGATGGCTTCTTTTCTTAAATCTCATGAACCAACCTCTGCTCGCTTCACATTTTTCTGCTACAGCTTCATCACCTCTCTCAGCCTTCACAGAACTGAAAAGAGTTAGGGCCTTGCTCTGGATTGGCTTTGGCTTAAGGGAATGTTGAGAGTGGTTTCATCTTTTATTCAGGCCACTAAAACTTTTTCCGTATCAGTATTAGGCTGTTTCATTTTCTTATCATTTGTGTTTTCATTGGAGTAGCACTTTTAATTCCCTTCTAGAACTTTTCTTTCGCATTCACAACTTAGCTAACTTTGGCACAGGAGGCCTTTTTTCAGCTTATCTCAGCTTTCGACATGGTTTCCTCACTCAATTCCGTCTAGTTTTCGATTTAAAGTGATAGATGTGCCACCCTTCCTTTCACTTGAACACTTAAGAGTCCATTGTAGGGTTATTAATTGGCCTAATTTCAATATTGTTCTGTCTCAAAGAATTGGGAGGCCTGAAGAGAGGAAGAGAGACAGGGGCCATTGGTGAAGCTGTCAGAACACACACAACATTTATTAAGTTTAGCTTCTTCTATGAGCAGAGTTTGTGGTGCTCCCAAAAAACTACAATAGTAACATCAAAGATAACTAATCGTAGATCACCACAACAGATGAACAGCAAGTGAACACATGCTGCTTGAAAAATGAAGCTGACAGACTTGCTTGAGTCAGGGTTGCCAAAAAACTTCAATTTATAGAAAAACACATTATCTGCAAAGCACAATAAAGGGAAGTAAAATAAAAGGATGCGGGGATTTGCTTATGCAAACAGTTTCGTGTCTGTGATAAAGGAATATACTAAGTAAAATATGGACTACCCTGGACTGTCTCCACAACTACAACCGATGTTCACTTGGGCAAGAACTTAGTTCAAGTGCTTCAGTGGTCACACAACCCAAAAGGCCTCCACAGCAGAAATGCTGCTATTAGGTACTCACTCACTAATTATTGAGTCCCCAGTGTTTCCTGAGGGTTATTTCACAGGCTCCTGACTCTGAAACCTCTCAAAGTTATTCCAACGTTAAGCTCATTTCTACGAGAAAGAGGTGAGAGGAAAAAAGACCAATAGTGGAAGGCCAGCTTCAGCACAACACATGTACTTAATAGTTTCTCTCATCTTAGACTATATATTCACATTTCCCTTTAAAGTCTGTTTTTGCGGGAGAGAAGCTTTATTCCTACCTACTTAGTGGCTGCTTTATAACAGTAAAATAGACGCTTTTGCAGAATTCTTTTCTGCTTTTTTTTTTTTTTTTTTTTTTTTTTGGTGAGACAGAGTCTCACTCTATCACCAAGTGGGGAGACCTCGGCTTACTCAATCTCTGTCTCGTGGGTTCAAGCGATTCTCCTCTCCTGCTTCAGCCTTCCGAGCAGCTGGGACTACAGGTGCGCACCACAACGCCCGGGTAATTTTTCTATTTTTAGTAGAGACGGGGTTTCGCTATCTTGGCCAGACTATTCTCGATCTCCTGATCTCAGGAAATCCGCCCGCTTCGGCTTCCCAAAGTGGTGGGATTACAGACCTAAGCCACCGCGCCCGGCCCCTGCCTTTTATTAAAGCTACAAATCACACACACTCTTCGCCTCACAGGGGAGCCCGCTACTTCGGGCATCCAGCCCTCCCGTATTCTCTAATGGCGTGGGGCAGAGCTATCGCGAGACTCCACTATCTCCTCAGCAAGTCTTTAACAGTGTGGACTTGCGCAGAAGAGACTCTTGAAGCCAGTTCAGGAGAAAGGGGGCGGGGTGCTCTGACGAGCGCGTTCGCCTTGACCCCACGCTACAGCGCGCGCCGGGCAGCTAGGCGCTGTGGTTTCTGGGTCTCCCGGGGAACCCGTACACTATCCCGCAAAAAGCGCTTGTGCCCACCTCAAGCCAATGTTCGGTGGGTGGCGAATGCGTACCCGTGATCTGCGGGATCTGTAGAGGAGCGCAGGCCTGGTGCAAAGAGACTCAAGAGGCTCGGAGAACCAGCTTGGGTAGGCGCTTGGGTGATGGAAGGTCAGGGGTCAGAGGTCGGGAGGGAGGGAGGTAGCCTCTGGCCTCCGGTACCAGGGAGGGAGGACGCTGGTTGTCCTGGAGCCCGGGAAGCTCAAGGGCTGAGAGGGAGCCGCTGCGCGAGTCTTCCCCACTCCTTCCCGATCCCGGATTAGCGAACCCCGGACCACCATGTCCCTCCGGGGATAAAGTGGGGTCGTGGGAAAGCAGGCTGTGCTTCTCATGCATTGGGGCCTGCGGTGTTTGTCTCGAGCGTCCAACACCCTAGGATCCGGGAGTCCGTCGTCACGCTCCTCGGCCTCGCGGTCGTTTGTTTGCTCGGCCTGCTGGGAGCTATCCGGCGCTGACAGCCCCGCTCAGACTCCGGGAGCCGCTTGTGGGTCTTTCGGAAGATAACTGAGTGGGTATCACCGTGCGCCGCAGATCTGCCCCCAGAGGCTGGAACTGGGCGGCCGCCTCCCTTCTTTGTGCGCGGCATTGTGTTAGTAAAAGGGGAGGCAGAGGCTTCTCAGTCCGACTCAAAGTTCTCCGTTACCTCTGGAGCCAGATTAATTACATTCGAATTCAGAACCACTATTCCACATTGTACAGTTTGGTAGTTGCTAGGTTTATGAACGAAGATAGGGTGTTGTTTGATGATTGATGGTCACTGTATAATAAATACAGTATTATTAAATAATGACCAGGAAGCTTTACACTTTTTCCAAGTAGTTGGACATTATCACGAGGTAGAAATCTTAGATGTTTGATGCCTTCCAACTTGTACTTAAGGAACTTGGGGCTTTTTCTGAACAAAATAAGATAATTTTAAAGTTATTACTGTTACTTGAAATTATTCCAGTGGGCATTAGTAGGAATGATGAAACTCTTGAATAGAAACGATCCATGATATCTTTACTGTCACCAAAAAGACTAGTTTATGATTAGTAAACATGCTGGAGACAGAGCAGTCCTGAGCAGTATTGTGATAATTAAGTCCGTGTTCGCAAACTTGGACTTTCTAGAGCTTTGAAGGACCAGTTAACCAGTAAGCTGGCAATTGAAAATAAAATAGTTTACTTTTGAGAGATGCTATTGTATATCCTCTTTGTCCACCCGAAAGGAGCTGGACTTACAGAATTATTAAAGCTTTTATTATTAAGAGTTTAGGCTAGTAAGATTTAGGGGAAACAGAATTTGGTGGTGAAGAAACTTATGAGGGCATTTTTCAAGTTTATGTAACTAATATATTTTAGCATTTAGTAGATGGAAATACTCTCACCTTGCTGGAATTATTTCTACAGAAAAGGAAAAGATTATGTTAACCCTGGGTCATTAAGAGGTTCCTAGTACTTAGTAACGAGTGGGCTTCGTTTCCGTAAGACAACATTTTGGACAGGAATATGGCAAGTGTATAATCCTGTTTGCCCTTTATAGCCTAAACCCAGATCTACCATGGATTTGTTGTAATTCAGGATTTGTATGTATCTTATAAACATGAAATAATATTTTTGGGGGAAAAATGTGAATTTAAGTTGTGTTATTCATTTGTTGGATTGTCTTAGTAATTTAACATTTTATGTTTATTTTTCTAGCATTCCATCCTTGTTTTCTGTTGAAGGTAAAGTTCAGTCAGTTTTCCTGCCTTGTTCTAGTATTTCATTTTTCTCAGAAATACTAAAGAATAGTTTCATATTACCTATAGTCTTCTAGAATGTGGATAAGAGAGACTTCTCTAAAAAGAAATATGAGTAAAGTACTGTTAGGTCCTCAAAAGGAGGGAATATATCCACAGAATTAGAGATCTTTGTTTCACCCTTTTTGTATGTGTTTACTTCCTAGTACTGACCTGGCATTGGGAGTACAGCACTGAATGGGATACTACTCCTGCCCATCTTTCAAAGTGAACATTGTAGCAGTTGGGATCCAGGAGAGAGAGGACCTTAACTCAGCTTCTCTGGTCATGGAAGCCTTTCCAGGGAAGACTGGGATGGAGACAGGCATAAAAGCAATTCAAGCAAAAGGCTTTTACATTTAAATACAAGACAGTAAAAGTGTGGTCCATATAGAAAACTTCACATAATTACATTTTACCCAAACACTGCTAATTAAGAAGGAGGAAGAAATAGTTGTGACTGATAAGGTATGAAGAAAACTGGAAGAATATGGGATGTGGTTAGGTACAGGATTTCACCAGTACTTGACTTACTAGTTGCCATATTGCATTTTAGTCATAAGTATTTTTGACCAAATACTATTTTCTTTGGTGCGAAAAGTTAACCCTAAATAGAGATTTCTTTAAGTAAAGACTCAGTCAAAACCAAGAGCTTTTTGTTTGGTTGGTTGATTTTTTTGATCATGAATGTTTACTCAGCTAAGAACTGGACAAAGGCAGAGCATTGCTAGAAATTCTGGTATTGACTTTTCTGCAGTGTATTATTATCACTGATAAGTGCCTTGAGGCACTAATATTGGAAGAATCAGGTTGAAAGAAAACATCTGAAGGAATGTGCAAATTATAATGGTGTACATAATTTAAAAGATACTGGATAGGTTTTACCAGAGAACAGAATAAATAGTTGAAGTAATGTTTTCTGGTTTGGTAATGTGTCTGTTACAAAATTATTGTAGGAAACATGGCACATGTTACTTCTCACATTCCATTGGCTAGGACTGGTCACAGGACCATACTAAGCTGGACAGCCATTTCTCAACTACTCTATACTTTGAGTGGAAATAAGTGGATTTTAGTAGGCAGCTGGTTATCCATAACAAGGTTTTTTGTAGGGATTCTAAAAAATAAAGGGAGTAGTGCCTGGGTGTTTCCCTGAGACATTCTGACTTAGTTGGCTAGGCATCAGGATTTTTTAAAATTTCCCTGGAGATTCTGATGTGCAGTCAAGTTTGAGAAGCACTGATCTGTGGTCCCCCATCCTGCGACATTAAAGTTTGGTTATTGTGAAATGTAATTTAGAGCAGGGGTCCCCAACCCCCAGGCTACGGACCGGTGCCAGTCCGTGGCGTGTTAGAACCGAGCTGCACTACAGGAGGTGGGCTGCGGGCAAGCGAGCATTACCACCTGAGCTCTGTCTCCTGTCAGAGCAACAGAGTCAGTAGATTACCATAAAAGCATGGACCCTATTGTGAACTACATATGCGCAGGATCTAGGTTGTACACTTCTTATTAAAATCTAATGCCTGATGATCTAAGGTGGAACAGTTTCATCCCTAAACCACCCCCTCCCCACCCCACCCCTCTCCTCCGGTCCATGGAAAAATTGTCTTCCATGAAACCCGTTTATGGTACCAAAAAGGTTGGGAACTGCTGGTTTAGAGTATTCTCAGGATGACAATAAATAGCAACTACCATTTATGGAATACAGGCCAAATTTCTGGTACTGTGCTGTTGTATTTAAACTATTTCTAACCACAATCCTGCTATCATCCCCATTTTAGAGATGAGAAAATTGGCACGGAAGACTGCATAACTATTTCAGTGCCACACAGTAAATGCCAAAGCTGGAATTAGAATGAATGTAAGACTTCAAAGCATCACGTTCTCACCTTTAAGCCACATTACTTTGCTAATGTGAGACTCTGCTAGAGAGTTGCTTTTGGAGTTTTCAGAGTTAATGATTCCACAAGAACCATGTTATTAATATTATTATGGTTAGTGTGATACATTTTGTAACTGGCCCAATTCCCTTTCTACACTCCCTCTACGCCTTCACCCCCCATATCCATGCTTTTTGCCATGTGCAGTTTCACCTAGTAAAGAAGTGTAGTATATTTCTCCACTACTTAACATTGGGTCCATGGATATGCCTTGCTTTGGTCTGTGGCACCTTAGTGGTTTTTAAACACTTTGAAAACTACTTGTGTGATTGGATTTGCAAGATGATACACCTCAACCATTGCCATAAAGAACATTCCTGAGTTACTTTGCTGATCCAAGGAGAGAGGATAAGAACTATATTAAGCAGAGCCAAACTGCTTTTCCAGAAACCTAGCCTAGATTAACCTCCTTCAGCTAATGTGCAGATCTATGAGAATAAATGATTGCTGTATCAAGGTATTGAGCTTTGGGGTAGTGTGTTAATACAGCATGTTTGTGGCAGTAGTTAACTGATAAGCCTAACTTTTCAAAGTTCCTGCAGTGACCTGACTCACTTTCAGTATTCCAGCTTATGCTTTGAAGAAAACTGGACAAACATAAACACTTAGGAAATTAAGAGCTTTCTATATTATTCCTCCAAGATAAGAGAGGATAAGATGCTTTAAAAGTAGTTATCATAGCCAGTGAAGCACTGGCTAAGAGAATAGAATTCTCATGATTGACTTAAGCACTGTCTGATATATAGACTTTTTGCAATTATGTGAATGCTGTATATTTGTGCTGTTCAGTGCAGTAGCCACTAGTCACATAGGGTTATTGAGCACTTGAAGTGTGGCTAGTGAGACTGAAGAGCTGAGTTTATAACATTTGATTTTATTTACAGTCACACATCACTTAATGATGGGGCTGTGTTTTGAGGAATGCATCATAGACAAGTTTGTTATGTGAACATCTTAGAGTATACTTACACAAACCTAAGTGGTACCGCCGGCCTACTACACACCTAGGCTCTATGGTACAGCCTACTGCTCTTAGGCTACAAACCCGTACAGTATATTCTGTACTGGATACTGTAGGCAGTTGTCACACAGTAGTATTTGTATATTTAAACATATTTGAATATGGGAAATGTACAGTAAAGATATGGTATAAAAGATAAAATATAGTACAGCTTTGTGGGGTGCTTAGCATGAATGCAGCTTATAACACTGAAGGTTGCTCTGGGTTAGTCAGGGAGTGAATGTGAAGGCCTGGGACAATACTGTACAATTCTGTAGACTTTGTAAACACTGCACGCTTGTGCTACACAAAATTTAGTAAAAAATAAAGTAATGCAGTCAGGCGCGGTGGCTCACGCCTGTAATCCCAGCACTTTGGGAGGCCAAGGCGGGTGAATCATGAGGTCAGGAGATCGATACCATCCTGGCTAACACAGTGAAACCCCGTCTCTACTAAAAATACAAAAAAAAATTAGCTGGGCATAGTGGCGGGTGGCGCCTGTAGTCCCAGCTATTCGGGAGGCTGAGGCAGGAGAATGGCATGAACCCAGGAGGCGGAGCTTGCAGTGAGCGGAGATCGAGCCACTGCACTCCAGCCTGGGCAACAGAGCGAGACTCCATCTCAAAAAAATAAAAAATAAAAAAAAAAGTAATGCATTATGATGTTACAATGGCTATGATGTCACTAGTCCATAGGAATTTTTCAGCTTCTTTATGGAACCACTCTAATATTTGGTCCCTTATTGACCAAAATGTCATTATGCAATGCATAACTGTATTGAAAGTTAAGTAGTCATATGCAGCCAACAACTACCTTATTGGATTTGCTTTGGCCAATAGTAGACAGAAACTACTTACTTGGAGCTGCCAAGGAAACCACCTTCCTTTGAATCACAGGGCCACCTTGTTTCTAAATAAAGGTTCAATCATCAGGGAAGGAGAATAGACCTTAGGCAGGTAAATAATGTCACTTTAGTTTCTTTATGGTTATTGGTCTATTCATATTTTCCTTCTTGGGCCAATTTTGTTCATTTGTATTTTGTTAGCAAAATTTTATCATTTATCATTTTATCCAGATTTTTCAGGTTTATTGAATAAAGTTATATTTAATATTAAAATTTCTAAATCTTGTGCATCTACTTTTTGTTTCTGCTCTTTAAATCAACTTTAAGATATAGTTTATATATAAGAAAATTCAATTTAAAGTATATAATTTGATGAGTTTTGACAGATGTATACTCTGCAATCATGTGTTGAACATTTATGTTCCAAAGCCTGCCTTCCTGTTCCTTTGCTGTCAGTCACCTCTTTCTACTTCCTTGCCCCTGATAACCACTAATCTGCTTTCTGTACTTAGGTTTTTGCCATTTCTAGAATTTCATGTAAATGGAAGCGTATAGTATATAATCTTTCACATCTAGCTTCCTTCAGTTTAGCATAATGCTCTAACAGTTCATTCATGTTATTTTACAGAAGTCTCTTTTTATCACAGAATAGTATTCCATTGTATGAATATGCCACAATGTGTCCATTCACCAGTTGTTGGACATTTGGGTTTTCTTCCAGTTTGGGGCTTTTAAGAGGAAAGCTGTTAACGTTGAAGTTTAAATTTTTATGGATTTATGTTTTGATTTCTCTTGGATAAATACCTAAGAGAGGGATTGCTAGGCTGCGTATTAAGTTATATTCAATTTTATTAGAAACTGATAAACTTTTCCAAAGTGTGCTGTGTTCGAATGTTGGAGAGTTCAGTTCTGTTTGAACCATACTTGCAGTGTTTTAAATTTTTGACTATTCTAGTGTGTGAATAGTGGCATCTCATTGTGATTTCTGGGTTGAATTTGCATTGCTTTAATGACTGATGCTGGTGAAAGTATTTTCATGTGCTTATTTTACACTTATGGGTCATCTTTGGTGAAATGTCTGTTCAAAATTTTTGACTGTTTTTTAAATGTTTATCTTACTATTGATTTGTGAGAGTTCTTTACATAGTCTGCAAACATATCCTTCATCAGATACTTGATTTGCTAATATTTTCTCCCATCTATGACTTGCTGTCATATTTTGATGACAGTATCTTTTGAAGAACCAAAATATTTATTTTTGATGAAACTTAATTTATCATTTTCTTACATAGTCTGTAGTTTTTGTTTCCTGCTTAAAAATTTTTGTGACTTTTTTTGGGCGAATCCAATGTCATTTAGGTTTTCTCCTCTGTTTTCTTTGAGAAGTTTTAGTTTTAGCTTTTATTTTTATTATCTATTTTTAGTTAACTCTTATATTTTATGAGGTAAAGCTTCATTTTGTTGCATATTGGTATCCATTTACTAAAAGGATACCTTTCCCATTGACTGCCTCTGAACTTCTTTCAGAAATCAATTGACCATACATGTGTGGGTCTACTGCAGGACATTTTATTGTGTTCCATTGATCTATATGTTTGTCTTTACACCACTGCTGCGCCATTTTTATTTCTTTTGACATACGTCTTGGAATCAGTGTAAATCATTCAACTTTATTTTTATTTTCTAAAATTATATTGACTTTCCTGTATTGTAGGCATTTTAATATAAATTTTAACATCAGGTTGTCAGTTTCTACTAAAGAAACCTGTTGGAATTTTGAATGGAATTGCTTTTCTGTAAGTTAATACTAAGAAATTGACATCTGAACATTTTGTGTCTTCTAGTCCATGGACATAGTATGTTGTATAGATCTGTAATTATATACTAATTTTCTAAATTTATATGTATGCTTGAAAATTTTCAGAATAAAAATATAGTAAGTTATCTTTTGGAGAAATTTAAAAATCAAAAAAGTTTACTATATGCACATATTTTTAATTTTTGCTTTTTATTTCCTTGTGTGTGGATCCAGATTTCCATCTGATGTTATATTTCTTCTACCCAAGCACTTCTAACATTACTTAGATTTTAGGTATACAAGTGATAAGTCCTTTTGGCTTTTGTCGATCTTTTCTTCACCTTCATTTTTGAAAGATATTTTGCCGAGTTTAGAGCTGTAGGGTGGGAGCAGTGGCTAAACCAGAAAAATAGGGCAAATCTGGAGAGAAGTCCTCACTTTTCGGTACTTTAATCATGGCATACCTTATTGTGATTGTTCTTTATGTTTGCCTTGATTGGGTTTCATTGAGCTTCTTGGTTTTCTGGGTTGATGGTTTTTATAGAATTTGGAAAATTTTCATGTATCATTTTTTCAAGAAGTTTTTTATATCCTTTCTTTTCTGCTGACATTCCAGTTTTATGCATGTTTGACTCCTTAACATTGTCCAGTAGGTTTCTGATGTTCTATTTATTGTTTTTTCAGTCTTTGTTTATCTTGGCTTCATTTTTGACAGTTTCTGTTGTTACTGTTGTTTCCATTGTTTAAGCTTATTCTCCTCCTTTTTTTCTTTGCCATTTCTAATGTGCTGGTAATCTCATACAATGTGTTTTTCGTTTCAGATGTTGCATTTCCATCTGCATAAATTTTATAGGAGTCATTTGTATATCTATAATTTTTTTGTCATATTCATATTTTCCTCTACCTTCTTGAACATATTGAGAATATTTACAGTAGCTGTTTGAATGTTTGTTTCTGCTAATTATATCATGCTGGGGCTTTTTGATTTTTTTCTTGTCATGGGTCTTATTTTTCTGTTTTATTTTCATTTTTTTTTTTTATTTTTACTTGCCTGATAATTTTAGATTTGATGCCAGACATTTGTGTTAGATTTTGTTTCACTCTTTTAAAGTATTGTTGGGCTTTGTTCTGAGGGGCAGTTAAATTACTTGGGATTAATTGAGAGATTTACCTTCCTATTATATTGCTCATTAAATTATTTCTACAATTTATTTTATACAACAAATTGCCTTTACTAAATTTATTAAAGACTAGTAAAACCATTAGAATTTATTTGATGTATAGATTATGGTTAATATGTTCATTCCTTAGTCGTATTGACCTGGTAAAAAATTGCTCATTGCTTTATATGTCACTGAAGATTTCATATTATGTTTATGGGCTGTGAATTTATGCTGAATTTCTCATCTGGTAACCCTTAAGTACTAAATCATCTCTTGGTATACCTCCTGTTGTTTCATTTGTCCTCTAGGGTTCACAGTTACCAGCCAAGAAAACTTGAAAATGAGCAGCCGGAGGAAGCGTGCTCCTCCAGTGAGGGTAGATGAGGAAAAAAGGCAGCAGCTTCATTGGAATATGCATGAGGACAGAAGGAATGAACCTATCACCATAAGTGATGATGATGAGCAGCCCTGCCCAGGTTCCGATACCTCTTCTGCTCATTGCATCATTCTAAGTGATAGTCTGAAGGAAGAAGTGGCTCACAGAGACAAGAAGAAGTGTTCAAAAGTGGTGAGCTTCTCAAAACCAATTGAAAAAGAAGAGACTGTTGGTATTTTTTCCCCTTTGTCTGTAAAGTTGAATATTGTGATTTCTCCCTATCACTTTGACAATTCCTGGAAAGCATTTCTAGGAGAATTAACTCTTCAGCTTCTTCCTGAGCAGAGTTTAACTGAAAATTTTTCCGAAAGGAGTATTACATTGGTGAGTTCAGAGTCAAGCAATCAGTTCCTGATTTATATTCATTCAAAAGGTGAAGATGTAGAGAAACAAAAAAAAGAACCAATGAGTATTTGTGACAAGGGTATTCTAGTGGAGTCATCCTTCAGTGGTGAAATGTTAGAAGATTTGGGTTGGCTGCAAAAGAAGAGAAGAATAAAACTTTATCACAAACCAGAAGGAAATCACATTATCAAGGTACTCAATTTTTTGTGGTGTCTTTTGAGGCTCTTCTACATTGGCAGTCCACTTTTAAATTAACCTATGAGAGAAGTCTGAAAAGCCAGCAGTAAGCCTTTCATTATTAAGTTTCAAAGTACACTTTAAGCTTTTAATAACTGTTAAAAGTATGTTACAACTAATCATTTTCAGGCTACACTTTTTCAAGATCTTCCATCTCTACTTTCAGTGACTTGTTTTGGTCCTCATCATCTGTTCCTCTTACTGCAGCAGTCATTTAACCATTTCTCTGTTTGCCATTTTGTGTTTTCAAATGCTTTGATTTTGTCTCTAGAATTGTATGATGTGAATGCAAATGAAATTCTGTTCATTACTGCCTACAGAATTAAGCATAATCTTTCTAATCTGGCACAGAAGTTCCTCCCTTGACAAGCCCTTGAGCCTTATTTACCCTTTATTACTCTGCTTTTTATTTTGTCCCAGAAACTCCAAATTGATTTATTTCTTCCATATACCACACTGACTGTCTGCGTCTTTGCTTTTGCTCTTATAGTTCCCTCTGCTTCAGTTGTTCCCTTTCCCTGATAATTTCTGGTTATTTTTTAATATTTAGTTTAGCATTAATTCACCCAGGGAGATCATTTCTCAAATCTATTGGTGGTATTATGTGCCCTCTCCTCAGAATCTCTGGTAGATTTTTTTTTTTTTCCCCAGCCTTGGCGACTTGTCATGTACTTAACGTTTTATATCATTCCCCTTTGGTAAACTATGAAGCCTTTCATCTTTACAGCCTAGTAAAGTACCTGGTACCTAAATTTTCAGTAGATGAATGAATAAATTTGTAATTTATTTCAGTCTCTGCCATTCACTGGCCAAATAACTTTATGTGAATCATTTAAATGCTCTAATTTGAGTTTCTTTATGAAATGTCAGTAATACCCATTCTTCTTACAGCATAAAATTGTGTTTAAAATGAGGTCAGATAATGTAAGAAAGTATACTTTGCAAACTGTGAAGCAAATTAATATGCTTTTATGTTAAACTTGAAATTTTAAAACGTTAATTTCATGTTGTTTAACTGAAAACTGTTTCATATATTTCTTTCATCAATAACCTTAGTTATAGTTTTAGAATTGTCAGAAGGAAAGGAGAAAATTTAGAATTATTAGATTGCAATTAATTTTTCCCTGTACAGTGAAACTGTGTAACCAGACATTCCCTCTCTTTACTGATTTTGCCAAAATTGTGGCTCAGTGATAACAAGTATGTAACAATTTATGACTCACATATCTGTGTTCTGTGTTCCCTACAAACCAAGTCTTAATCTATTGTGTTTTTCCCGATCCTGAATTTTACAAATATTTAAACATTTATTGCTGCTGTAGTAAGACATCTCCAAGCAAGCCAAGACAGAATACAAACAGGAATGAAATATACTTTGTCATTCATTTCTGTGTAAGGCTGGTGGATTTCTGTTCTTTAGTGAAAGAATATGAGATTCTCAGTGATTAGGGACTCAGGTACAACATAGTCAACATGAAGTAAAGGGAACTAACATTTATTGAGTGTCTACCATTAGAAACTTTTATAGTTATATTATTTAAGCTAGATGTCTCTCCATTTTGTAAATGAGAACACTTGGGTCAAAATAAATAGGTTGTTTTTTCTCCAATTCATTTAGCTTCTAAGTATCAATGCCAGGATTCAAAATCAAGTCTTTCAACTGTAAAACTTCATACTACATTGCTTCACTAGGGTCAAAATATTAACATTAATGAAGGTCTGTTTTTTTACACGTTTTAGTGTTTGATTCAGTAATAAGGATGCCCAAACCTAACAGTGTAGAAGATTCCTAGCATGTATATCATAATCTTCTGGGGAAATCTGCATTTTTAACAAACTTGACTGATTAATTCATTAGTTTTGGGAATCATTTTATTAGTAGATAGAACTAGGTGTTCTTATCGCATTCTCCCAGGTTCGATTTCAGTTAGGGAAATATTTTTTTCCAGCAACTCGAATTGTACATTGTAGGCACTTACATTTGTAATTTGTTAGTGAAAATGAAACACGGGAAAATTTGGTAGGTATGTATTTATTATTTGTGGCACAAATGCTATGAATACCTTTAAAAATAGTGATGCTAATTTTTTCTTTCTTATGTCCTCATAAAGAATGGTGTATTTCAAATGAAACTACTTTTATTTTGATTAATTATTTGTAGGTTGGAATTTATCTTTTGGAAGCTGGCCTAGCAAAACTAGACTTCTTGAGTGATGCAAATTCAAGAATGAAAAAGTTCAATCAGCTTATGAAGAAAGTAATGGAAAAGTTACACAATTATATTATTCCAGGTAATGTTTACAGTAAACTTAAAAATTGCTATTACTTAGGAGTTGTGAGTTTTTTTCTCTAAGTGCTGGACATAACAATCAGAAAAACAGCTGATAAAGTCATAATAAACATTAAATGATTATATGGCAAATTATGCTTATTTGAAATGCACCCACTAATATAATTTATTTCTTTGGTTAACTCTGTGTTTACCTTATTGTAAATATTAAAGGAATATTTGCAGAGTCAATATGCAAGTCTAAAGGCAGAGTGTAAAGGGATCTGAGCTGGTTGGGATTTTTGCATTATTCCTGTGCTTTTATTTTGTCATGGCCAGAAATTCTTGGCTGGCGTTTATTCCACCTCTCCTTTGCAGTCTGACAAATAATTTCAAAAGCCTGGTTCCCATAAAGACCAGATAACTTTGCTCTGTTTCTTGGCAAGACGTTGCATCTTTGGTCAGGACTGCAGATTCAGAGTTGTCTGCCATTGGTCACCATGGGAGAGTGTGGATGGCTTGGTGCAGCTCATCAACACTACTGGAAAAAGAGCCCAAATTCTCCAAGTTCTGCTCATGGTGGGTCAGCATTATTTCAGGTGCAAATTATAGAACATTGTCATACTGGAGTATTTAAAAATCAATTTCTAACTTTGATTGTTATTTCTCTAGTACATTTTTTGCAATGCTTTATAATATCAGTAATAGTAAATCATTTTGCAAGTTAGATACTTTAAATGAGGAAACCTCTGGTTTTGGGATTAGAAGGAATGAATTTAAGTACATGTAGAGTTTTTAAAGCTATGGCCTTTTAAAAATATTACAAATTTGTGCATTTTAAAACCTGGTATCTAAGGAAAGCTTCAAATTTAGCTATTAATCTTAGATTATATAATTACAGTAAAAGTCTAAAAGAACCAAGCATAAAGCTATACATTAATTGTGAAGTTTTGGAAATTTTACATGGCATATTTTTTATTGGAAAAAAGTAAGTCATGAATTTTTTGGTGTGATCTTTTAGTTTTAGAAGTTATGAGGTGTGTCCTGTAAAAGTATATAGGCCTCTTTCAAAGCAGTTCAGAAATAAATGATAGACTTTTTCACCTTGAAAGAGTTATGTTTTTAATAAAGAACCATTAACTGAAAGGAGTTTGTAAATATGTTCAAGGTTTTTATTACTTTTTTCATGTTATAGTAAGCATAAATCTTCTTCCACAGAACAATTGTGCCCACCAAATGAAATTAGTATTTTTACTATTTTACAAATTTGCATTGATAACTTAATAATCACTTGTCTTCCAATTGGCTGCTACTGCTACCAAATGCCTATCCTTTTTTAGCATAAGAAATAAAATGAGAACCCGTTTCTTATTGGGCATAGAACAGTTATGTCTCCATATGGATTTTGTATGTTAAAATTGTAAAAGTAAAATAAGTGTTCCTGTATAAACTTCAAACAGTATTCACATTGAGTTCCTCAAATGTTTGTAAAATATCTGCAGTGGACAATACACGTGTCAGCTACGTGTCAGCTTCTCTGAGGGGCTACAAAAATGAAAAACTTTGCCTTTGTCTCACTGGGGAAGGGACCAATGGACATAAATGATTGCAGTTGGTATTGCAGTAGATTACAATGTAATATTACTATATCCAGAATATAAAAGGATTGCACAACAGAGGAGAACATAATTCCAGCCAGGGAAAGCAAAAGAAAATGCCATGGAAAAAGTAGCAGTTAAACTTCCTTGAAGAATGGATGAGTAGATTTTTGATTAATGAAAAATTAAAGATAGGGCCTTTCAGTGACAAAACACGCTGAGCAAGAACCCAGAGTTGGGCAAGTTCATCGTATGCTCTTAGAATAAGAATTGCTTATAGTTAGAAAAGTCACGTCAGTTTTTGAGTACATTTGTTGTGTGATGTACAGATGTGTTGGAAGAGGATGAAGATGATCCGGAGAATGAGCCAGAGGGACAAGACATTGACGAGCTGTATCACTTTGTGAAACAAACACATCAGCAAGAAACACGGTCCATCCAAGTGGATGTCCAGCATCCTGCACTGATCCCTGTGTTGAGACCCTACCAAAGAGAGGCTGTCAATTGGATGCTACAACAAGAGTGTTTCAGAAGCAGTCCTGCTACTGGTAAGAATAAGATGTTTAAAGAAAAATTGATTAGAGAGATTACATCAGAGACAATTAGGGCAGGGGGAAATTAATCATTAAAATAAACATCCTGAAAATATAAGATAAAATGGGTGCTATGAACAAAATTATTTTCTAAGAAATTCTTTAAAATTGAAATCTAGAAAAATGAATTTGTGGGTTTCTTCATTCAGAAAAGTTTGAAATGGTTTTTCCTGCCAAAAGGAAATCAAAAGCTGCCTCAATTGGAATTTTTGAAAACCAAGAAATTTTTTTTACATTCTTTTCAAACAAAGAATTGCTGTTCAGAATCTGGTCCAGTGGGAATCTTACTGATCATCTGTAAGAAACTCACAATGTAATGGTGAATGTTAGTGACAGAAAGCAAATTTACAAAAGTAGGAGACTTATGTGTGACTAATTTACCTACATTTTGCATTTTTTCTTTACAATAATGTCATCTGTTGAGTATTTTTATGAAAGTAGTAGTTTTACGGGAGGCTTTTATGCCACTTCTTTATTGCTGTCTTTTTTCAGTAACTTTGTGGGGGTAAAAGTGATTTTTGGTTACATGGACGAATTGTGTAGTGGTGAAGTCTGGACTTTTAGTGTACCCATCACCTGAATAGTGTATATTGTACCACTATGTATTTTTTCATCCCTCACTTCCCTTCTGAGTCTCCAGTATCCATTGTACTACTCTGTATGCACCCATGTACTTATAGCTTAGCTCACACTTGTAAATAAGAATATGTGGTATTTGTTTTTCTGTTCCAGAGTTACTTCACTTGGGATAATGACCTCCATTTTCATCCAAGTTGCTGCAAAAAACATTATTTCATTCTTTCTTATGGCTGTATAGTATTCCATGGTTTCCATGGTGTGTATACACACCTGCTCCCCTCCACCCACATTTTCTTTATCCACTCATTGATTGATGGGCACTTAAGTTGGTTCCATATCTTTGCAATTGTCAATTCGTACTGCAATAAACATGTGAGCATGGGTGTCTTTTTGATATAGTGACTTGTTTTCCTTTAGGGAACAAGTTCCAGTAGTGTTCTGGAGTGAATGATAGATCTACTCTTAGTTCTTTGAGAAATCTCCATACTGTTTTCCATAGAGATTGTACTAATTTGCATTCCCATCAGTAGTGTAAAAGCATTCCCTTTTTACTGCCTTTGTGCCAACATCTATAGATTTTTGAATTTTTAATGGCTATTTTATTCTAGAAGATAAAAATATAAAATACCTATTAATCTCTAAAGAAGCCAACTAAAAATTACTTGCTGTTTCATTGGTGGGTAGAGACATGCTACTTATTTGGCATTTGGTTTAAATAAGTTAAAATATTAAGGGGAAGGATAGTGGAAGATTCTGGTAGAAACAAACTCAGCACTTCTGAGTTATGGTTTTAGATTTTTTTTTCCCAGTTAAGTAAGCCTTTCTTCTCACTCTCAGACCCATAGAAGAGGTCAGGTCTGATTCGGGTAAATGTGTTAGCCAGCTGGCATATGTCTATTGAGTTATTCAAAGACTTCATATAATTTATTGCAAGATTTATTTAAAAAGACTCATTTATCAGGTAGGGACTGGTTATATGTATCAGTTTTCTGTTAATTCTCTGTAATCAGCTACAGTTTGCTTATCTGTCCCATTATTTGCTGATGTGGATTTGTGCCCAAAACAAAGAGAGCTAAAGAGTAATACCAGAAGAAAGGAAACTGAGGGACCTTTAGCTTTTTACTCACATGTTAAGTATGTGGCTTTTCCAAAATGAGATTTCACAAGAATATGGGTATCACTATGTCAGAGTATCCTCACAGTTAACCTATTCGTATTTTAATGTGATTATCTGACTGAAGGCAAAACAAAAATTTGTTATTATGATTATATTTTTCTTTAGAAAGTGCCCTGCACTTCTTATGGCGAGAGATTGTTACATCTGAGGGTCTGAAACTCTACTATAATCCATATACAGGCTGGTAAGGCAAAATTTTACTTATATGCTTGATTTAAAAAATAAATATAATGAAAAACTGTCTGAGATTGTTAGCATATCTGTAACTTTGGCTTTACCTCATGAAGGAGTCAAAGGTGAAGTCTTATTAGACGTCTCTATGGATAGGATAGATTTAGAATTAATAGCACTTGTCATTTTTCAGTGAATGAATTTGGAATAATAGACATAAGGTGCTTAGTTATCAAGATTTAAAGAGATTATTATTCTAAGTAAAAATGTTATCTTGTTTATTATGGGGCCAGTTTTTTTTTTTTTTTTTTCTTAGTAATCATTAAACATCATGAATGAATCAGTAGTTATTGCCCTTTGTATTTTTCTTTTTATTCATAGATTCATAAAGGTCATAGAAAGAAGGCAGACATGTTCCCTTTTGACTGCCACTCATTTCTGTGGAGTTACGTGTCAGCTCAGGCAGTTTTTTTGGTTATCACATTTCTTATGTTCGTAATCTAAGGTTTGAATTATTTTACCCTAAAATACAGTTTCAGTAAACTTAGACTTTATGCATTGCTTCCAGTTCTCTTTAGAAAAAGTATAATTTGTATTCACATTCTTGTGATGTGATTTATCTTGTTTTTTTTTTTTTCCTTAGCATCATTCGTGAGTACCCAAATTGTGGGCTGCAGTTGCTTGGTGGAATTTTAGCAGATGAGATGGGTCTTGGAAAGACAGTGGAGGTTTTGGCTCTGATTCTGACACATACTCGACAAGATGTCAAACAAGATACTCTCACTCTTCCTGAGGTAGGAGGGGTACAGTAGGGCTTGCAAAAGCAAGGGACATATGTTCTCGAAAAGCATATGTTGAACATTTGCTTGGCACTTAAGTCAACACTTTCTGTTCACTCTGTGGGTAATGATTTATATTAGTGGTTAGTTAACTTCAAGTGGGCAGAGAGAATGGGGTGTTTGTGACCCAGAAGGTTTATTTTTTAAGTAATGTTGGCCAACCTGGAAGAGAATTAGCAGTCACTTACTAAACTTCCTTCTAGTTGGCAGAGAAACTCCTTTACAAAAGTACTGTTGACTCCTCAAATGTTTTGTCACTAATAAAGTCTCCATATTACTACTAAATATTTTTAAGAGCTATTTAAAAATATTGTACAAATCTCAGATATATAAATCTTAGAACCAAATAATTAGAACTTTGTTAAAGAACAGGTAGCTTAGTAAATAGATTGCTAAATGAAACAAATTTCAAGTCCTTGTCCCAAAATACATAATTGTGTATAAAAATATAAATTTTGGAGTTACAGAAACAAAATCCACTAAGGCAAATATAGTATATAGCTCATATTTTCTAGTAATGAAATCCAAAATCAGCGTTTACATTAAATCTTGCTGAAATGAAGTCAGTAGTTAAAGGTGTAATTATAATTAATTACATCCAGGATCCACCAGTCTCACAGCTTTAGCATTATGTTATCTTTCAGTAGGGTCAAGTTTGCAGAATTAGCCTTTCAGATTTGAATAGGAAATAGAAAAAATTATGTTTTCTTTGTAGAAGTGTGACTTGGAATATGTTGATTTAGCTCAGTAACTTCTCTCTGAGATGTCCTACTCATTACTCCTTTAATTCCAGGTTATTTTCATATTATTATAAATTCAATGGGTTAATTTTATATTTAAATATACCTTTAAAAGTTAATTTCAGGCCGGGCATGGTGGCTCACGCCTGTAATTCCCAGCACTTTGGGAGGCTGAGGCAGGCGGATCACGAGGTCAGGAGATTGAGACCATCCTGGCTAACATGGTGAAACCCCGTCTCTACTAAAAATACAAAAAATTAGCCAGGCGTGGTGGCGGGTGCCGGTAGTCCCAGCTACTCAGGAGGCTGAGGCAGGAGAATGGCGTGAATCTGGGAGGCGGAGCTGGCAGTGAGCCGAGATCGCGCCACTGTACTCCAGCCTGGGTGACAGAGCTAGACGCCGTCTCAAAAAAAAAAAACTTAATTTTGGAGGTTCCACACATAACATTTAGGTAATTTAAGATAATATGCACATATTTTTTAAGTGATAGCTAGCTGTAAACTCAGAAATAAAACAATGTATGTATCTACAGCTATTTGGCCCTTTCTCTTGCAAGTTTTTTACAACTGTTTTGCATTTCCATAAAGAAGGAAAGTTAATTTCAATAAACAATTCAGAATACTGAGAGCAAAACACTGTGTAACTACTGACTGTTGTTTGTATCAGGGAAAAGTGGTGAATTACTTTATTCCGTCACATTATTTTGGAGGAAAACTGAAAGAGACAGAAATCCAGAATATCGAATTTGAACCAAAAGAAAAAGTTCAATGCCCTCGTAAGTATGACATCTCTTAAGGGAAATACCTTTTTGTAGTGATCTTTGCTAAAGTTCTTGCAATCCTTAGAGATATCTTGTAATTGTTATAAATAATTGTTTTTACAGTTATGTATGCTTTTCATAAATGAATTCAATTACAAGTCATAATATCTTAACAAAAGTAAAGATGCATTCTTTTGTTTGACTTGGCCCAGGTAGTTCTTGCTCAATCTGTTGTATTTAAATCTCTTTAGCTTGCAGTTTAAACCAGGCTTTATTTATCTTTTAGGAAATGAACGTTTCATATACTAATCATTGCGTATACTTACATAATTGTGAGAGTTTTCTTTTATAATTCTGAATGATTGTTGTTTTATAACATTAACAATTCAATATGAGTAATTCTTCCTTCAATTATTTGTATTACACTAATTTGTTTCTTAATATGCTGAGATACATTTTTATTACATATTTTTTCAAAATGACACTATGTTGTAATAAATCTTTGATTTATTTTTTTCTTAACTCAGTCCTCATGCAGATTAAGATTAACCAAGTTTTACTTTCTTTTCATTTTAATTATTTTGACTGAATTAGCATATCCTTTTACATTTAGCTACACGTGTGATGATCCTGACAGCTGTGAAGGAAATGAATGGAAAAAAAGGAGTGTCCATCCTTTCCATCTATAAGTATGTCAGTTCTATATATAGATACGATGTTCAACGGAACAGGAGTCTTTTGAAACGGATGCTGAAATGTTTAATTTTTGAAGGTCTCGTGAAACAGATCAAAGGCCATGGTTTTTCTGGGACTTTTACATTAGGAAAGAATTACAAGGAGGAAGATATATGTGATAAAACAAAAAAGCAGGTAACAGAGCTTAAGTTAAGCTGCATATTAAGTACACGTATGTGATACCTTACCGAGTACATTGACAGATCCCACCTTGACACTGAAACTCTTACAATATGAAGATAAAAAACAAAATAGGAAGAGTACTTATATCTGTAACTTATATTTTCTACTTTGTGGATATAAACTCCATGAGAGTAACTTTATTTTGGCTATCATTAAACCCAGAGGATAATGCTTGGCACATAACAAATACTCAGATATTTATTGAATGAATTATAAAATTAGTTGGCTAAGCGTATTATAGAGTCTAAAGCATCTTCTGTATTATTTATTTTTAGTATTTTTTTAAGAGACAAGGCATCTGTCTATTGCCCTGGCTAGAATGCAGCGGTCATAGCTAACTGCAGCCTTGAACTCCTGTGCCAAGCTATCATCTTGCCTTAGCCTCCCAAGTAATTATGAGTACAGGCTCATGCTACCATGCCTGGTTAATTTTTCTTATTTTTTGTAGAGATGGGGTTCTCACTGTGTTGCCCAGGCAGGTCTGGAACTACTAAATTCTTATTTTCTTTATATTATTATCTTATAAAATTTCTGCATTTTGTTAGAAAACTGCTTCTGTTGGGCCAGTAATTTCAGTTTGCTTTTAGGAAAATAGTTAAAATATTTGCAATCATAAATAAAGACTAAAGACAACAAGTCAAAATGTGGAACTAGCAGCTTGGCCACCAAGAAAAAGACAAAAAAATTATTTCCTGGAGTAGAAAGTCTGGTATTGTCCTTGGGTAGCATTGAAGACAGCAATCAACTGTGCTTTTGGTAATCCTGCTACCACCAAAACGAGAAAATTTCCCATTGAATACATGTTGTGTCTTAACTCCGCTGTTTGACCTCAGCCCTGATATCACTTGGAGGAAGCTGTCCCTGTTACCTACCTGCCTATCATACTCCCACTATGTTGTACAACCCTCTTAGGTATTCCTATAGCATCATTTTACTTTTTACTGTTCTCACTTTTCCAGTAGACCCCTTTGAGACCAGGGGCCAAATATTGTTCATATTTGTGTCCCTAGCATCTAACACAACTACTGGCACAGAATTGGCATTTAATAAGTAATTATAAGAGAGGACACATGTAGAAAAGGGAAGGAAAGAAGGAATCAATTTGCTAATTGCAGTAATCAGTGGATTATCTTTTACTTTCTTTGGATGCAATATGTTAGTACTTGGTATTTTTGTAGTTGCCCCAATTTGTGTATTTGTGTACTTGAAAGAACTAGTCTTGGCCGGGCGCGGTGGCTCAAGCCTGTAATCCCAGCACTTTGGGAGGCCGAGACGGGCGGATCACGAGGTCAGGAGATCCAGACCATCCTGGCTAACACGGTGAAACCCCATCTCTACTAAAAAAAAATACAAAAAACTAGCCGGGCGCGGTGGCGGGCGCCTGTAGTCCCAGCTACTCGGGAGGCTGAGGCAGGAGAATGGCGTGAACCTGAGGGCGGAGCTTGCAGTGAGCTGAGATCCGGCCACTGCACTCCAGCCTGGGTGACAGAGCCAGACTCCGTCTCAAAAAAATAAATAAATAAAAATAAAAAAAAAAAAAAAAAAAAAAAAGAAAGTACTAGTCTTGTATTGATTTAGGCAGACTAAATCATAGTATGTTAATAACAAAATATCAGTAGCTTCCTTTATCTTCCTAACTTTTTGTCTCTTCAAATCTTATACTTGTAGAGCCTTCCTTTTCTTTTGCGATAAAGTGAGGGTCCTTACAGAGGGCAGATTGGAAACCACTTATCAGGAGTGATTCTCCTCAGGGAAAAGGGTAGCAAAGACTGGCTGCTAGATTTTTATATGAAGTACTTACATAAAGTCAGGCGTTTAATTTCAGAAGTGCAACTATGTTGAAATCAATTAATTAAATATTTTTTTCATAGGCAGTAGGGAGTCCAAGGAAAATTCAGAAAGAATCTAGAAAATCAGGGAACAAGGACACAGATTCTGAATACTTGCCATCAAACACCTCTGATGATGATGACGATCCTTACTATTATTATTATAAGGCCAGGAGAAATCGTAGTAAATTGAGGAAAAAGCCTATTCCATCCACAAAAAAGGGAAAAAGTCAACCATTTATCAATCCCCATTCACAAGGTCTCTGTCCAGCTACTAGCAACTCCGGAATAACTGATGTTGCTATATCTAAAAGTACATGTATCTCTGAATTCAACCAAGAAAATGAAACAGAGGACTGTGCTGAATCTCTAAATGCTGATGTTAGTGATGTGCCACCTTCTAATACCATGAGTCCCTTTAACACCTCTGATTATCGCTTTGAGTGCATATGTGGTGAACTTGATCAGATAGATCGTAAGCCTCGTGTTCAGTGCCTGAAGTGTCACCTGTGGCAGCATGCAAAGTGCGTGAATTATGATGAGAAAAATCTGAAGATCAAGCCTTTTTATTGCCCCCACTGCCTTGTTGCAATGGAGCCAGTGTCAACAAGAGCAACTCTGATCATCTCTCCAAGTTCCATCTGTCACCAGTGGGTGGATGAGATCAACAGGCATGTGAGGTCATCATCTCTTCGAGTCTTGGTAAGGCCACTTGGACTAGAGGGAGAGGAAGATGTGAAGTTTTTCTTGTTCATGATAGTTTCCGAATCTTTGTTTCTTTGTTGTTTATCCTCAAAACTAACTGAATGATTTAAAGTAATGTTAAAGCTTAAAGAAAAAAATTGAGACTAAGAACTAGAACAGTACAGTGTTATTCTTTTCTAACATCAGAATTTCAGCAGTTTAAGCATTCTGAATATAAAGATGTGAACACTTTTTAAAAATTCTTGAGTATGTAAATGAAAAAATCTTGGTATAAGCATTTATAGTCTTCAGAGAGAAATGCAATCCAAAGGCAGCACTGTGGTATAGGAGCTACTTATCTGACCTGCCATCTCTTAGCTCCAGAATCATCCTCTAAAGCTTCAGTTACCTCAGCTGTAAAATAAGAGTTTACTTATACAGCAAATCTTTATTGACCACTTAAATTATGTGCCAGGAACTGTGCTGAGTTTTAAAAATAGTATCCAGTCATTTGTGAAGATTATATGATTTCATCAAGTACTGGGCACATAGTAATATTATTGTTTCCTAATATTAATACCCATCACTAATTTCATTCTTCCTTCTTTCCATGCAAATGTTACTGAAGGTTTTTATATTTCATCCACTCTACATAGGCATGGAGAATACAGTAATAAGTAAAACAATTTTTGCTGTTAAGAAGCTCTGTTCCGTGTGGGTAGGCAAAGCTTTGAGTCTTAGTTCCATCAGTTTTGAGCAAGTCACTTTATTTTTCTTATGTGTGGGATAGGAATGTTAACTACCAACAGAGTTATTGTTGAAGTTTGGAGATAATGCTTAGCACAGTATCTGAAATATAAAAGATGTTTCATAAATAATAGCTCTTATTTTTCTACATTTTCATACCATTGTGCTTTCACATATGCTATTGATTCCATCCTCTTACCTACATATAGCCCTTTTCTTTTTTTGCCACCTATGAGAACCTTTAAGATATACCTCAGGTTTTAACTCCTCTGTGATTTCACCTTCTCCGCTACAGAATTGGTCTTTCCACTGTGATGCTGTCATGTTTACATTTATTACAGTTTGTTGCACATCAATTATGTAATTCGTCTTCCACACTGGAACATGTCTTTCTCTAAACAGATATGGGATCTGTCTCATAGCATGAATGCTCCTAAGAAAATAGAGAGGACTTAGTAAAGGTATAAATGAGTGAATATTTCATTGCCTTTAGTGAGCCTTTTTGCAGTAACTGCCTGTATTATTTCCTAGGTATATCAAGGAGTGAAGAAAGATGGCTTTTTACAACCTCATTTTTTGGCAGAACAGGATATAGTTATTATCACCTATGATGTACTTCGTTCAGAATTAAATTATGTCGATATCCCACATAGCAATAGTGAGGATGGGCGTCGACTACGGAACCAGAAGCGCTATATGGCTATCCCGAGCCCCCTAGTAGCTGTGGAGTGGTGGAGGATCTGCCTTGATGAAGCTCAGATGGTTGAATGTCCCGCAGTAAAAGTGAGAGTTTCTGCAAAATCTTTTGAGGGCTGGGGAAGAAGTGGTAAATGGAATTAGGGGAACTTGAGTAGTTTAATAGTTAAAGCATAGTTAACCTGTAGTACTGATATTGGTCACAAGTTTGTTATTAAACACTACTGGTGCTTTTCTCTTGTGCTTTGAACTACATAACCCTTTGAAATTAATTTTGTACTCTGTGAATCTTGGCTCTATGTGAAATATATATTTCTCAGTAAGATGTCAATTTATATATGATGCATATCAAAGTAAACTGTGTTTAGGAACTTCTATAAGCATTTCTGCTAACTGGGAGCTCATCATGTAGCCTCAGATAGCTTTGAACCGTAGTTGACTTTGACAGTCTTTTAAATCAGAGGCCAAATGGTAGCAGAAAATACTACTTTAGAGACAGAATTTTAATTCAGCCTTTGAATGTCATATGTCTTTTTTCTTTTGTCTTTGGCCAGTCTATAACCTGAACTGAATATATGAATCATATCTATTAGTATCTGGAGGATAGAGTGATGTAGGACATGGATCAGTTATTCAGGGGGCTTTTTCATTCTGTATATATTTGAACTACCCCTCTGTTTTAGGGGACTGCGTGGCAGCTTCCCATTAATGAGAACCACTGTACTGGAAGATGGTCCATTGAATATGACATTCAACATTAAGTGTGATAACTGTTAAATAAAAGCAGGTACATCTCACCGGAAGTGTAGCTTTTAATGGGCTGTTTTTCATGAGTATGACTGACTTCTGTGTTCTTTCTCTGGATTTCTGGATTTTATTTTTATTTCATTTTTCTCTCTCATCAGGCTGCAGAAATGGCCCAGCGTTTGAGCGGGATTAATCGGTGGTGTATCAGTGGCACTCCAGTACAGAGAGGATTAGAGGGTAATGTATGGTTTCCTGATATATTGCATGCATTTGGAAAGCTTCATTTTTTAGAGAGAAAAGTATTGTTATGCTTAACCTTTGCTGAAGTCCTTATTGACGTGATAATTCATGTCTTTATAGTTGACTCCTAATAGTTTTAAGCATTTATCTTTTTAAATGGGACTCAGGTGATTTTTCTGTTTATGTATATGAGGACAGATATATATTAAGAGGTCTCATTACCTTAAGTTGAACAATTATTGAACCTGCCTAAACAGCATAGATATGTCTGAATTAAAATCAGAGTTCCAAAGTCATAGGTAGAAAACAGAAAGAATCTAACCCAAAAAGAAACACTAACCCAAAAAGAAACAAAGGGTAGAGGCAGGGAGGAGGAGAGGCAGAAAAAGAGAGAAAGGGAGTTAATTTCAATTGACTGTGTCTATGAAAATGGAGACTAGTTTTTATTGTGTGAACCCATGAATACTAGGGCCATAATTTTAGTAATTATAGAAGTTGTTAATAGCCTTATAATGTCACACTATATGTATATACCATTATTCCTTGTACCATTGCTTTTCTTGAACATTTAGATTATGTCTAGTTTTTTCCTCCTCTCCACACATACATTGAAATTATCCTTCTACGTTAATCTTATTCAATATCACTTTTTCTGTAGAACAGACATTGCATTTCTAAAACCTTTATTCAAGTTGTGAATATCTAAAATGAAAAGTTTAACTAAATCTTGTTTTATGTATTTCCCTAAAAGCTGTTATTAAAGTGTAGTTAAATTACAAAATTTAAACATACTTGGAGTTCTGTAGTAAATACTCATCTTCAAAACTTATCTTTCTGAAAACCCAAGTTTTTGTATGTTTGTGTTCAGCAGCATGACTTACTCTGCTAAAACAGAAATCTCAGCATCTGTTACTTTGACCTTTAAAAGCAGTGTTTTCCAATCATTATTTTTAGGAGGAAAAGGTTTTCTAGTAATATTTTCTAGTATATATTTAAATATGTGCATAACTTAAATGTTACGTTTAGATACATATTTATAGAATCATATCAGGTTCAGTAAAGGACCACATTTAGTGGTCTCCTTTCATGTTTGGAAACTGTCAAAATTGTAAATAGGCATTAATAAGGTCTAAGATCTTACTCAGCTCAAAAGTTAGCTGAGAGGATATAGAAAAGAGTACATGATTATCAGAGTTACTCTTTCTCATTTTAATATTGAGAGAATATGAGCAATAATTTCTTAGTTCCTGGGTAGGTTTTTTTGGAGATATAAGATGTTGGCAAGTGTTTTGAGCACCTGTCACCGTTCAACAAATTCTTGAGTAATTTTTTAAAAAACAGCTTTATTTTATTTATATCTTTGAACTTCATTGAGGTATGAATGACATAGAATATAACTAAATATTTAAAATACCACATTTGAAAAGTTTTGACATGTATGTGTAGCCATGAATATATTTGCACAATAAGGCAAGTTTCCTCATGTTCCGTGTCAGCTCCAAAAGAGCTTTTCCAGACTTTCTAGAAATTTGTCTTTCCCCCTTGCCTCCATATCTCTCTGGTATCTTTATGATTCTTGCAATTAAATGGTTTTTTTCTAGTTGTCACACTAGGAATGTTAGCCTACTCATGACTTACTATGTTGTATTTGGACATGGAAGTCTCATTTCTTTTCTTTTTGTGCTAAACTAGGGTTTCTCAACATTGACATTTGGGGCCAGATAATTCATCTTCTTTGGGAACTGTCCTGATGTTTTAGGATGTTTAGCTTCTACCCACTAGATGCTGGTAGCACTCCTACAATTCTGACACCCAGAAATGTCTTCAGAAATTGCCAGACTGAAATAATGTCATCTACTTGGAGTGTCAAATATGGAAGAATGCTTCCTAACACTTTCCATCCCCTACACTGTGTGTCTACATAATGTATTCATTTGTATATAGAAATCATTGGCTTTGGGGAATATAAAAACCAGGGTTTACATCCTGACTTACTAGTTGTTTGTCCATAAACAAATTCCTTAAACATTTAAGTCCTTATTTTTCTTATCTGTAAAATAACGTGTTTTAAAGGTGAATTATGATGAAGTATACAAAGGATTTAGCACAGTACCTAACAAATATTAAATATTCAGTGAATGATAGTTGCTTCTACTTCTGCTTTTGTTGTTTTTTTTTTTTCCATTTATGTAGTCATTTATGTATTTTAGTGTTTTGAAAGTGTTGACTTTAAAATAACAAATGCTTTGTGATGCATTTATTATTTCATTTATTATTATTTATGTGTTTCATTTATTTCTTTGTGAGGTAGGATAGAATCTTAGTCAGATTTTTGCTGTTAGGAAACCACAGACTGGATAACTACAAAAAAGAGAAGTCTATTTAACTCACAATTCTAGAGGCTGGACATCTAAGAGCATGATACTGGGAACTGGCGAGGATCATCCCATGGTGGAAGGTGGAAGGGAGTACATAAGATAGAGAAAAGCATCAGGGGCTGGACTCACTTTGTAACAACCAACCCTTGAGATAACTAACCCAATCCCGCAATAATGACATTAATCCACTCATGAGGGTTCCACCCTCATGAACGAGTCACATATTATTAGGTCCCACCGCCTAACATTGTTCATGGAAGTTTAAGCTTCTAACACATGAACTTTTGGGGGATATATTCAAATCATAACAGATGATAAGCAAAAGTACATACAATCCCTGATCTATTGAGCTTACAGCTTAGAGGAGAACATATATTTCTTAAACTATTTCTTACATACTTAGATAAATATCAAAATTGCAATTGAGATAACTTTCACAAATGAAAAAAATGGAAAATTCTAACTATAACAGGTGTCATTAAAAAAAAATCTTATTCTGTAACATCATACAATTGGGATGCAGAAGGAACTGACAACTGAGCTGTGATCTGAAACATTAGCATGGGCCAGGTAAAGAGGAAAGAAAAATCCTCTGTTGTAGCGGAAACAGAAAATATTAATGTAAATAGATCATGTGGCAGAAATAGTGTGGCTAGAGCATAAAAAGCTAGGGAGATGATGGTGGATGGAGAGACTAGGTGAGTAGAGATGGGACCATCCATGGAGGATGTTATTCCCCATGTTAAAGAATTTTGTTTTTTTTTCTTAAAAGTAGTAGGAGCTATTGAAACAATTTAAACACAGTGGTTGGGGGTCATTTTGTGGTTACATTTGTATTTCAAAAGATCACTCAAGTCGCAGTGTGGTTTAGAAGAGGGTAAGAGTGGGTGTTAGGATATCAATTGATTGCCTATAAGAAGTAATCTAGGCAAGTGGTGCTGACACTTAATTTGGACTAGGTTTGTCCTAAAGGTACAGAAAAAAGTGGATAAGGCAAAATTAACAAGCCTCAGGGACAGATCAGGAGATACCAAGATTTCTGACTTGCATAAATCCGTGAATGGTGACTGGTTTCCCCAGTGAATACTACCAGAAAAGAAACATGGGCCAGGCGCGGTGGTTCACACTTGTAATCCCAGCACTTTGGGAGGCTGAGACGGGTGGATCATCTGAGATCAGGAGGTCGAGACCAGCCTGGCCAACATGGGGAAGCCTCATCTCTAATAAAAGTATAAAAATTAGCTGGACGTGGTGGTGGGCGCCTATAATCCCAGCTAGTCGGGAGACTGAGGCAGGAGAATCCCTTGAACCTGGGAGGTGGAAGTTGCAGTGGAGTCGAGATTGCACCATTGCCCTCCAGCCTGGGCGACAGAGCAAGACTCTTTCTCAAAAAGAAAAAAAAAAGAAGCACGTGTGCAAAAAGATTATGAATTTGAGATTTCGGCAAGTTGAGTTTGAGATGGCTTTGGGACCTCAAAGAAGAGGTAGCATATAGCAATTGAATTGATTTGAGCTGAAAATATAAATCTGTGAACCTTTGTATAGCAGTGATGCATTGGTTCTTTCAGATGTTGCTAACTCCCAGCAACCATCAAGGTAACTTAATTCAATCTAAAGATTTGTTGATCATCATCAGAATAAGTGTTGTAGGTGTGGGAAGGATATTTGTATTATTATTTTATGGCTTCTGAAGAGAATATATGCCCATTGTGGAAAAGTTTGAACTGTACATAAAAGTATAAATAAAATTACAAACTGTACATGGTGGCTCACACCTGTAATTCCAGCACTTTGGGAGGCTGAGGTGGGAGGATAACTTGAGCCCAGGAGTTCGAGATCAGTCTGGGCAGCATAGGGAAACCCTGTCTCTACAGAAAATAAAAAAAAGTAGCCAGGCATGGTGGCACACACCTATGATCTCAGCTACTCGGGAGGCTGAGGTAGGATCACTGAGCCCAGGAGGTTGAGGCTGCAGTGAGCTAAGATGGTGCCACTGCAGTCCAGCCTGGGCAACAGCAAGACTTTGTCTCAAAAAAAAAAAAAAAAAAAAAATTAAAAATATTACACTCATAGTCTTCATTTGAAGACAAAACCACATCGAATCTTTTCTATGTAGATGTTTATATATTTGAGCTTATTCTGCCTGCACAATTTTATATTCCTTTTTTTTTTCCCACTTAACATCATATCCAAAGCAGTTTTTCTTAACTCCTTACAGATAAATATATGGAAAACTGTTTAGGGTATGCTAAGTGGGCGGGTGGAGGGGAATAGAATATAAAATTGAGTGTGCCCAGTAAAGAGATATACAAGAAGTCCCATGCTCTAAAGCTAACACATACAAGGCATGCTGAATCAGAAAAGAAAAATAGTTCTATTTTATGGGATTACCATAATTTATTTATTTGAGTCATTTTTCTACATATTGTTGCTATGAATATCACTGTCTTATCTATAATATAGATAAATCTTATCTATATTTTTATTACTCTCTTAGCCTTCTTTTCTAGGAGAATTATTAGATAAAGGATATGAGGAATATTGCATCAGAGAATATTCTTCATGTCATCTGTGTGATTAGAAATTCTTTTTTCCAATCCAGCAAATCTTGCGTCTATTGGTTTCAGAGCATGGTATTTCTTACGTATGTCTTACCAAGTACATTCAGTTGAGTGGTTTTTTGGTTTAACTTCTGATAGAAATTTCAGATTTTTGAATTAAGTATAAGCTTTGTTTAATGAATTATTCTATAAACCTAACATTATTTTAGCACCTAGCACAAAACCTAGGGCAGAATAGATGCTCAATAAATATAAATGGAATTGGAATTGAATTTCAGATTTAAGAGCCTATACAGCCTGTATTTTAATTCATGGAAAGTTCTATGTGCATGTAATGTCTGTAGAAACGCTTCTGCAAACTAGTAATGAAGTAATAGAGTTATTCTCAATGTACTTTATTTTTTTCTTTTCAGATCTTTTTGGGTTAGTGGTCTTTCTTGGTATTGAACCTTACTGTGTCAAACACTGGTGGGTTCGACTTCTCTATCGGCCTTACTGCAAGAAGAATCCTCAGCATCTCTACAGCTTTATTGCCAAGATACTGTGGAGGTCTGCAAAGAAAGATGTAATTGACCAAGTCAGTACAATAAGTTTTTATTGATACAGGTACTATAAGAGAAAAGAAACAACTGGGATAGAAAGTTAAATTTTTAGGTGACATCTTTTTTTTTTTTCTGCTCCTTTTACAGATCCAAATACCACCACAAACTGAAGAAATACACTGGCTCCACTTTTCTCCAGTGGAAAGGCATTTCTATCACCGTCAGCATGAGGTGTGCTGCCAGGATGCGGTGGTAAAACTCAGGAAGATTTCTGACTGGGCTCTGAAGCTCAGCAGCCTGGACAGAAGGACTGTCACCTCTATCCTGTATCCATTGCTGAGGCTCAGACAGGCCTGCTGTCACCCACAGGCTGTTCGTGGGGAGTTCTTGCCACTCCAAAAAAGGTTTTATTATCAACTTTTTTATATTGCAGTTGATATATCATAATAGACAATATTTCTGGCCCATAGTTGCATTCAGAGACGTGTAACTGAGTTGTCAGTTATTTTTAATGGTGTGGAGGGTTTTCTTTGGTGTGGAACCTCATTTGCAACAGAGAATTATATCAAAATTATTTTCATGGTTTTCAGCTTTTCTCTTTTGCAGTGGGTTTGGTTTTTTTTTTTTTGAGACAGTGTCTCACTCTCTTTCCCAGGCTGGAGTGCAGTGATGTGATCATAGCTCACAGTGGCAGCCTCAAATTCCTGGGCTCAAGTGATCCTCCTGCCCCAGCCTCTAAGTAGCTAAGACTACAAGTACACACTACTACAGCCAGCTAATTATTTTATTTTATTTTATTTTATTTTTTGAGATGGAGTTTCACTCTTGTTGCCCAGGCTAGAGTGCAGTGGCACAATCTCAGCTCACTGCAATCTCCGCGTCCTGGGTTCCAGCGATTCTCCTGCCCCACCCTTGCAAGTAGCAGGGATTACAGACATGTGCCACCACGCCCAGCTAATTTTGTAATTTTAGTAGACGTGGGGTTTCATCATGTTGGTCAGGCTGGTCTTGAACTCCTGACCTCCAGGTAATCCACCCCGCTCAGCCTCTCAAAGTGCTGAGATTACAGGCATGAGCCACCACGCCCGGCCTGTTTTATGTTTTTGTAGAGACAGGGCCTTGCTATGTTGCCTGAGCTGATCCTGAATACCTGGCCTCAAGCAGTCCTCCTGTCTCACCCTCCCAAACTTTTGGGATGACAGGCGTGAACCACCACACCTGGCCTTGAACATTTCTTTTAAAATTAGGATTATTGTTGAGGTTTTTAAAAAATTATTATTTTGTTATTTAGGGTTTTGGCTGTACTCCAGATATGAAAGGCTTTTGCTCTTTATTTCATAGTTCCCACATCAAGGAATTAGATTACCATTAAATGTTTTCTATCTCTCTGATTATTCATTCTGAGAACATTAAGAAATTTGTGTTCATAATACTCTGTTGTCCCAGAAAGTTTTTGTGAATCAGACTGCAACTCAGGAACTGGCCTTTGGCTGTAAGAGATAGAAAGAGGATTCAATTTTGTCTTTGCTTTTAAGCAGGTTATAGACAAATAAGGGAAATGATGAAAATTACAGATTTCTAAACTATGAAGTGAACATGGTAAATTTCAAAAGGTATGTGTACACATTACTATGTACAGTTAGAGTCCAAAAACAATTTATATGTGAATGGTTAAGGTTAGACAACCTTTCGGTGGAATGGCATTTAACCTTTGAGGATCTTCATTTTTTACTAATTAAAAAAATATTCAGGCTCAGAGGTTTTCTAATTAAGTTGCAGTGCTGGGATTCAGAGTCAGTCTTACATTTTAATATTTGTAATGTTTAAATATATCATGTTGTACTTTGTTCTTGAGGAAGATTTTTCTAGTTTCATTCTACCTTTACTGAAATGGGAAAAATTTAAAGAATGATGTGATCAAATAAAGGTACTTACATGGGAAAAAATAATGGTAAAAATGGAAGCAAAAAAGAAATGCTAGAGATATCACAAAAACTGCAAGAGTCTCATACTCTTGATCATTTGTGATATAACACTCCCACTGGAGTAACACTTGGGATTTTCTTTCTGGTTTTCAACAGTCTACCTTTTCTTTTAGCACCATGACAATGGAAGAGCTGCTGACATCTCTGCAGAAGAAATGTGGAACTGAATGTGAAGAAGCACATCGACAGCTAGTTTGTGCTCTCAATGGCTTAGCAGGCATTCATATTATTAAAGGTAGAAGGTGATTGCTTTGTTATCTCTGATTCTTCCAAACACTTCCTGAGTAAAGTTAATTATAGAATCAAAATCCCTCCCAAAAAGATACTCTCACACACTACTGAATATAGTTTAAATAGATTCAACTTAATAGAGAGCAGTTTCATAGAACATCTCAAAAAGCTTTGAAGTTTACATATGATTTAACCAAACATTTCCATTTTTAGTTCTTTTTTGAGGAAATGAGGATACACAGATTTGTATTTAAGTTGTTAATCTTAGTCTTTAATAGTATAATAGTAAACAACTAGTCAAAATAATTAGAAATAGAAAAATGGTTAAATTTTGACACATTAAAGGGATATTGTTCATTGATTTAAAAATAGTATTGTTTGTAGGATCATTTTTTCAGCAAATATTTGTGTGCCATACCTCATCTAGGTAACGATGATATGGTAAATAAAGTAACTCTCTGATCTTGCAGACCTTAAATTCTTACAGAGGGTGACAAGTACACACACACCCTCCCACACAGACACAAAATGTATGTGTGTAAAGTTATAGTATTATATATTATGCACAAAATTAAAGCAGGTTAGAAAGAGCATCTTATATTTACATATCTACATGGATGAATATTAGTGACTTCTCCATCTGTCATGGATCACTTTTTTTGCGTTAGGTCTAATATCTTACAAACTGTCATTTCACGTATTTTGCCTGTTACTATAGTTTTTACAGGAAAGAGAGTAAATCCATTCTCTGTTACTCTATCTTGGCTGGAAGCAAAGTTATATAACTGGCACTTTTAATAAGCTCCATGTGGATACACCTTTCCATTCCATATAAATATGAGAAACATTAAAACTGTATTCCGTAGGTTCAAGAGTTAAGATGAAACGTGTTAAGTAGAAACACTGAAAACATTCAAACTTCTGGAAATCAAAATTTCAATGTCTAATATAGAAAATTGACTTAATAAATAAATTAGACACCGCCTAAGAAAAAAATCAATAAAGTCAAAGTATAGAATAGCGATAGAAACTCTCCAACATGAAAAGCAAATGAAGAATACTGAAAATTTTGAAAAAAGGATCAGTGAGGTTGTGGACTACTTCACATGGCCTGATATAAATGTGTAGAGTCCCCAAAGGAAAAAAGAAAAAAAAAAAAAAAAGGAAGAAATATATTGTGGGTTTTATATCATGTAAATGTACAATGTACAAAAGCAATAATACAAAGTCTTTGTGGGGAGACATGGATGTATAATATTGTAAGATTATTATCCTGTATATAAAGAGGTATTATATGAAGGTGGACTGTGACAAGGCAAAGAATGTGCATCCCACAGCCACCACTTCAAAATACAACAAGGAGTTAGAGGTAATAATCCAAAAGAATAGATAAAAGTAAAAAAATAAAAAATCAGCCGGGCGCGGTGGTTCGTGCCTATAATCCCAGCACTTTGGGAAGCCAAGGCGGGCAGATCATGAGCTTAGGAGATAGAGACTATCCTGGCCAACATGGTGAAACCCCGTCTCTACTAAAAGTACAAAAATTAGCTGGGCATGGTGGCATGAGCCTGTAGTCCCAGTTACTTGGGAGGCTGAGACAGGAGAATCGCTTGAACCCTGGAGGTGGAGGTTGCAGTGAGCCGAGATTACACCAGTGCACCCCAGCCTGGGCTACAGAGCGGGACTCCATCTCAAAAAAATAAATAATAATAATAAATAAATCTTCAATCAAAAAGAAAAGCAAAAAGTAAAAAAGGATTCAAAAACCAAATGAGATGATTAGAAAACAAACAGCAAGATGGTAGATTTAAACACAAGCTTATCAGTGATCACGTAAACTGTAATGGTCTGAATAGCCCAATTAAGAGACCTGGATTGTCAGACTGGAGTAAAAACAAACAATAACCATCAATGTGTTCTCTATAAGAAACCCACTTTATATTTAAAGATGCAAATGTAAGAGGATGAAAAAAGATACGTTAACACTAATCAAAAGAAAGATAAAGCCACTATATTTCTGTCAAGTAAAATAGATTTCTTATTAATACTGCCTGCTAACTGATTGTACCACTGGAGCTTCTAAAGTAGATTTCAGAGCAAAGAATATTACCAAGGATAAAGGGTGTTACTTTATCACTAGAGAAAAAAATTCTAAATGTATCTAAAACAAGAGTTTCAAAATAAATACTAAAAACTGATAGAATTATAATGAGAAATAAACAAGTGTGTAATGTCGGAGATTTCTACATCCCTCTCTCAGTTATGTATAGAATAATTAAAAAATAAGTGAGGGCATACATAGCTCAGACACTGCTGTGAACCAGTTGACCTAATCAGTGTTTATTGACTACCCAACCAAAGAGGAATATACATTGTTTTCAAGTACATGTTAAATGTGTATGCAGATATGGCATATTCTGGTCTGTAAAACAAGGCAGTAAATTTCAGAGGATTCATGCCTACAGAGTGTATTCTGTGGCCAGAGTGGTAGACGCCAATAACAGAAGGATAATTGGAAAGTCCCCAAATACTTTGAAATTAAAACACACTTCTAAACCTTTGGGTTAAAAACATAAAAGGAAAAGTAGGAGATACTTTGAAGTGAATAAAAATGAAATACCAAAATTTGTGGGGTATAGCAAATCAGTTATTAAAAAGCAATTCATAGCATTAAACGTACTAGAAAAGAAAAAAGTTTCATATCGGAGACTTCAACTGCTACCTTAAGAAATTTAAAACAAGAGCAAATGAAGTACAAAGAAATCAGTTGCCCAAAGAAATGTTTGCTTTTTGTAGAATATAAGGAAATATTAAGCCTCTTTGAGAAGCCCGTCTGTAGTTGTTAGCTCTTTAGCATAATAGAACCAGAAATGGCAAGTATCTCTGTATCTCTTAATTGTGCTAGATACTTGGATAGAGTTACAAGGATTCTCAGAAGCTTAGTAGAAATAGCTCTAGACAAGAACTGAATAGGATGGGCCTTCTTATATGCTGCAGTTGGAACCCTGTGAAATGGTGTATATTGGTCAAAATTTCCGAACTTCAGTGTCTTTGTCAATAAAATATACAGGTGCTTTACTTACCTCAACTATTGTTCTTAATACAAAATGTCGAAGCACATTGAAAACTTTTATAAAAACAGAGATGAAGAATGATGTTATTGATTATGGTAATATGAAGGTTACCTCGGATTCTTACCACTTTCAACCTACTCACAATGTAAATTCTGTTATCAATATTTAATAGAAAAAGGCATATTATTATATATTCCTGTTAAATTGTTCACATATAGTACATGTAACTTTGTGGGCAAATCTCCCCTCTAGGGTATTCCCTAGAAAGTCCTCAATTTAGCTAGCAGTGTATTGTTTATTATTAAGAGAAATCCCCCACCAGAAAGTCCATTAATAAAGGATATATTCCTTCTGAATTTAATTGTAATTTACTTTTTTTTTTTTTTTTTTTTTTTTTGAGACGGAGTCTCGCTCTGTCGTCCAGGCTGGAGTTCTGTGGCCGGATCTCAGCTCACTGCAAGCTCCGCCTCCCCGGTTTACGCCATTCTCCTGCCTCAGCCTACCAAGTAGCTGGGACTACAGGCACCCGCCACCTCGCCCAGCTAGTTTTTTGTATTTTTTTTAGTAGAGATGGGGTTTCACCGTGTTAGCCAGGATGGTCTCGATCTCCTGACCTCATGATCCGCCCATCTCGGCCTCCCAAAGTGCTAGGATTACAGGCTTGAGCCACCGCGCCCAGCCTAATTGTAATTTTCTACTTAATTGTAATAGATTTGCTGCTTTTAGTTTTTATTAACTTCATAGTGATGTGTTAAACAATATTCATTTTTTAAAGTAACATTACATATATAACTTACATAAATTAGATTCTTCTAATGTGAAGATCAGACAGTGAAGGTCTGACTTCTCAAAGAAATCTAAAATTAATTTCAAACTCTTAAAAATACTTGCTTATATGTAAATAAATACGTGTGATACATTAGTTCATATTCTGAGATTCTCCTTGACTGGTATTAAACACATTTTATTATTCCAATTTTGAACATTGTGTTTTCTGCAGATGATTTTTGGAGAAAATTAACTTGACAATATCAAATCCACTACAGTTTACTCAGAAATGTTAGCGCCATCAAGTGGCTAAGAATGGGTATTTCCAAATTTGACTTAAACCTTTATAACATTGAATATGGGTATTTTTGTGTCTTCCTCAGAAAGCATGTCTTTTTAAAAATAAACATGAAAAACCAGGTATTATAGTGAATAGGTCAAATTCAGCTGCTTCACACTATAGTCTAATCACTATACCTTCTTTAAAAGGTATGGTAATTATGAAGAGAAAATTGTTAAATGAATTATTCTCTATAAATGATAGTATAAATACTGATAGAATTCATAATGTCATTTGAAAAGCTTTTATCAAGACTCTTAACTAAAAAAACTCACTGTGAAGATAACTGAATGTTAATGCCTGCGTTATAATGTAACTTTATTATTGTGAAAATAATCTCGCTTATTTAAAGGGAATAGAAATTGGCTGACTACAGTTCTTTGATAATGTGTGTTTTAGAAAACTTTGTATTAGCTAACTAATAGAACTAGATGTAAAGCAATAGTATAAGAGCTATTGTTCCAAAAATTTCTTTTAAATTAGGTATTTTGCACAACACTGAATATGCATAATGCCACTGAACTACACACTTTAAAAAGGGCTGAGATGGTAAATTTTATGTATGTTTTACCAAAATTAAGATATGTGTATAAACTTACATATGAGCTAAAAAAAGAAACGACCTCAAAATTTACAAAGGTTTGCATATATATATATATATATATATATATATATATATATATATCATTGTAACTATGAACATGGTCCTAATTACATGATATTCATCAAACCAGCTTGAAGTTTTTTTTTAAAAAGAAGTATGTGTGATACTTAGGAAAAAAACTTGCTCAGCAAATAAGAGCTAGAACATCTATGTACCTTTTTTTGGTATTTGATTGCATGGTTTTGCCACTGTTAGATTTTTGCTTTGATAGTATTTATAATTTACCTGTTTTGAATTTTCCAAGCAGCAATTAAGATAGATTCTATTATTCAAGCCATTAAAAATGTTCATCCCTTATTTTATTGAGGTATCATCAAACTTTCTATATAAAGAAGTAGATAATACATAGGCATTGCAAGCCATAAGATCTCTGCGCAACTATCAGCTTGACTGTTGTAGTACAACAGCAGCCACAGGCAGTACAAAAACAAATGAGTAGAGCTGGGTTCTAATAAAACTATTTATGAACCTTGAAATTTAATTTTCACATGTCACGAAATTTTTTTTTTGAATTTTTTTCAACTATTTAAAAATGTAAAATTCATTCTAAGCTGATGGGCCCAACAGATAGGCAGAGGGTAGAAATGACCCATGGGCCATACTTTGCCAGCCTGTGCTTTAATCGATACTTTTTGAATTGCTTTATTTGAATGAGATACTAATTATGAATAGTAGAAAACAGCATACATCTCAGACTAACTGATTTGTGTGACCAGAAGTAGAGGTGAGATCCCTAAGTTTCTGACATGAAGTTTTTAACTGCAAATTATTTGGCCTAATACCAAGAACAATAATAGCTACCAAGAATAGTATATTTTTCTGATCATTATATGTAGGTTGGTCGGAGTGTCTTAAATTTTTTTATAAATAATCTATAATTACCTTAAGTTTTTCCTTAATTTCAAACATCATAATGACTAGTGATTGACACCCTTTAACTTCAGCAAAAGGAAATGTTTTTGTCTAAATTAAAAGTTTATCCAGTAGCATAATCTCAAAACATTACAGACAGGTTTGATTATAAACATATTTCAGTATAATTTTAAAACATTACAAATGTAATATAAGAACATTATATTCCATGGAATTAAAAAAGGAACTGTACTCAGCCTTTTTTAAAACTTGGGCAATCATATTAATACCAAGTCAGATTTCTTTATTAAAAAAATAGGTATAATCATTACATTTTATTTTTACAGTATTCTTAAATAATGGACAACTAGATGACATTGGGAGCTAAATATGTGACTCTCATACTTTAAATACATTTTAATTCTTTAGGTGAGTATGCCTTGGCAGCAGAATTGTACAGAGAAGTGTTGCGCTCCTCGGAGGAACACAAAGGAAAACTCAAAACTGATTCACTTCAAGTAAGTAAAGACTAAAGAGTTTCATCATATGTATTCTGTTTTTTTTTAACAAAATAATTTTTCTGAACGTTTAAGAGGATAAATGGTAACAAACAGTCATAATCACTGGATGAAACTTGGGATTCAGTCTTCTCAATAAGCATTTTAGGTGATTTGTGTGTACACTATTTGAGAATCAACTACTATTCCATTCAGGGACGTTTTGGGCACAAGCCTGACAAGGTAAGTCTATATAAGCTACATTTAAAAATAGCTCAGAGTACTTGTACTTCCAAGAGTAGGTCAGTTTTATCACTTTTGCATATGAATATCAACATATTCACATGGTTTTCATTAAAAAGAAAAGGAACTAAGCAATAAAACCTATCTAATGATAATTTTTAGAGGTCATTAGGGAGATTTGGATATATTAATTATAACACTTCCCTGGGATCTGTCATTGACTTCTTGGATCTGTCATTGACTCATATAAACAAGGCTCTGTAGCTAAATAGGAAGTGAGCATGAGTTTATTAATTTTGGCAAGTTTAGGTTTGAGTCCTAGGTAAGAAGTCATTACCATTCAGAATATTGACCTTGGGACTGACTAACATGTTCACAAGTACCAGAGTGGATATTTAGAGGAACGTATGAAAAAGTGGAGGGAGAGGAAAAATTAAATATAAATCTTATATTCTGCATGGATAAAGGTTACAAAAGGCAGGTCCTAGACCTTAACACCCTGCTCTTGAGTAAAGAAAACAAAGTAGTAGTACCCAGATTGTTTTATAGGAAAAGTATTCAGTGATATGATCTTAATGTGGTGTTAGTGTTCTGTGTGCCATATTAATATTAGGTTCTCTTCAGAGTCTTCTTCATTGACTGTCATAATTATTGCCTTTGATGTGTTTGTAGAGACTTCATGCTACCCATAACTTAATGGAATTGTTGATAGCCAAGCACCCAGGGATACCGCCTACCTTGCGTGATGGCCGACTTGAGGAAGAGGTAATTATTATTTTTTTCATTATGTCTATGAAAGTATATTTTCTTCAAACTTTATGCTCCATATAGTTGATATATCCTAGGACATACAACGTATGAATAAATGTAATCACGTTTTCCTGTTACTTTGATGTTTCAAATTTTGTCGTGATTTTGGGTAGCAGAGAATGGCGCAGTACGTATTATTTGGCTTCTCTGCTGATCTACCTGCAGTTATGTGATAAATGTTTGTTGTAGGTATGGCTGTTGGTAGCCAACAGAACGGGATGTAAATAAATGAGTTTTAAAAAGGAAACTTTGATCTCATGGCAAATCTACAAAAGATGTAGCTTAGTAAATATACAAACTTTTGCACTCTCTCCACCTTTCTCTGTATTTTTTAAGGGGGTAAATAAAGTCAAATTTTTGGTGGTAGTTCTCTCAAAGAAGTTTCCTCTACAAAAAGTGTTGCCTGTTTTTGAAAAGAATGACATCGAAGAGTGATATTATAAATTATTTTACTATAAATTGTTAATAGCTTATGATGCAGATTCTTCCAGGGATTTTTGCTGTTGTTAAACATTAAAGAGCTAAATCAAAAGAGGTATGTTTGAAATGTATTGAGCCTATAAATGGAGCCTTTATTTGTGTCAACAAGATAAAAAATGAGATATGCATAGCCTTTTTGCACTGGTTGTTTTGGGGATGGAGGGGCTCTGGTAAACTATTTTAATTAACAAAAATTTTATATATTTATGAGTAGAGAGTGATATTTTGATATATGTAGACACTAGAATGGCTAAATCTAGAAGAAAACCTAGGTAATACCATTCAGGACATAGGCATGGGCATGGACTTCATGTCTAAAACACCAAAAGCAACAGCAACAAAAGCCAAAATTGACAAATGGGATCTAATTAAACTAAAGAGCTTCTGCACAGCAAAAGAAACTACCATCAGAGTGAACAGGCAACCTATAGAATGGGAGAAAATTTTTGCAATCTACTCATCTGACAAAGGGCTAATATCTAGAACCTATAAAGAACTCGAACAAATTTACAAGAAAAAAAACAGCCTCATCAAAAAGTGGGCAAAGGATATGAACAGACACTTCTCAAAAGAAGACATTTATACAGCCAACAGACACATGAAAAAAATGCTCATCATCACTAGCCATCAGAGAAATGCGAATCAAAACCACAATGAGATACCATCTCACACCAGTTAGAATGGCATTCATTAAAAAGTCAGGAAACAACAGGTGCTGGAGAGGATGTGGAGAAATAGGAACACTTTTACACTGTTGGTGGTACTGGAAACTAGTTCAACCATTGTGGAAAACAGTGTAGAAATACCACTTGACCCAGCCATCCCGTTACTGGGTATATACCCAAAGGATTATAAATCATGCTGCTATAAAGACACATGCACACATATGTTTATTGCGGCACTATTCACAATAGCAAAGACTTGGAATCAACCCAAATGTCCATCAGTGACAGACTGGATTAAGAAAATGTGGCACATACACACCATGGAATACTATGCAGCCATAAAAAAAGATGAGTTCGTGTCCTTTGTAGGGACATGGATACAGCTGGAAACCATCATTCTCAGCAAACTGTCGCAAGAACAGAAAACCAATCACCACATGTTCTCACTCATAGGTGGGAATTGAACAATGAGATCACTTGGACGCAGGAAGGGGAACATCACACAGTGGGGCCTATTGTGGGGTGGGGGGAGGGATAGCATTAGGAGATATACCTAATGTAAATGACAAGTTAATGGGTGCAGTATACGTGGCACATGTATACATATGTAACAAACCTGCACGTTGTGCACATGTACCCTAGAACTTAATGTGTAATTAAAAAAAAAAAAAGAATGGCTAAATCAAACTAATTAACGTATCAATTACCTATTTTTATGTGTGTGTGTGTGTGTGTGTGTGTGTGTAGTGAGAACATTTAAAATCTGCTTTCTTAGGACTTCACCATATGAATTTTGGGGAAACAAAATTTAGTCCCTAACACCTATATTACTGTATATTCTCAAGGATTGTTTTTAAACTGCAGTAACTCTAAGAAATTTTAATAACTCAATTAGCCAAATTTTAGAAAGGCGTCTTTGCTTTGCCTATCATTTGAAATATTACTGTTCTTTTTCTCCCCTCTTTGCTTATTCTAACTAAAAAAATAATTTAAATGAAAATTTGGCAGACAAGTCTTTGGTGTTTCTTAAATTTTGTTACTTGGACAGGTACATTTTGTTAACTTCCATATATAAGGAATTTTTAGTGTGACTTGTATGTTCTCTACAGTGTAGTTGTACTTATATGTTTAAATGCAGTTAAGTAACTTTAAATATATAAAATGAGCCATTCTTCTTGAAACATTATACTGAATTATATTCTGGATTGGGAGTGAAAGTTTATATTCTGTGTTTCAACACAGGCCAAACAGCTGCGAGAGCACTATATGAGCAAGTGTAATACAGAAGTTGCTGAAGCCCAGCAAGCTTTATATCCTGTGCAGCAGACTATCCATGAGCTTCAAAGAAAGGTATGCCAAAATGCAGTGTTTCTTACTTGTATTTGTCTCCAGATATCATTTTGGGTTTTGGTTTTTTTGTGGGGAGAAACTTGAATTTTTTATACATCTTGGAATTCCTAGCACCTAGTACATTGCCTGACCCACAATACAAGTTTATTTAACTGTTAGCAATGATTATTGGTTGAATGATCAATAAGTCAACTATTTGAGTTGCATAAATAAGTCAACTATTTGAGTTCTCTTTTTTTTTTTTTTTTTTTTAATGTTCAAACTTCTATTTACTCATAAAATAGTTACCATAAATCTGAATGGGAAATACATCCTTTGGTTCTTTAAAAATCCAAGTCTATATAAAGGCAGATTAACTTTAGTGGATATTACAAAAAAACAAAGTTCCTAGTATGAAAAGATGTCTGGCAAAATCAGACCTGTAAATACTTCAAAGAGGAACTATCATTTGAAAATCAATCTAGAAAGTTCCAGATGGATAGTCATGCTCTTTTTTCATGATTTAGAAAAACTACTAAATTTGGCTCAGGAAAGCAGCAGTGCCAAAATTCTGTCTATCCTTCCCCCATAACCCTTGTCCTGATAAAAAGATTTTTATGATCCCATCACAGGAAAAAAAGCCTGATCTTGATTCTCAGAATCAACTAAGCAACATCTTAACCCTGAGATTGTCTTGCCATGTTCAAATCTTTTCTCAGATCTATGTTTTGGCCTTCTTTCCTCAGGGTCAAAGCTCACAGCCCTTCATTGCACTCTGGAGTTGAATATCATGACTCAAGAAAAAAATTGTTTTGTAAGAAACTGTTATAAACACATATAGTTAAACAATTGTTTAAATGGATCAGTCAATTCAAAATGTCACAAGAAGTTAAATGCCTTCAATTTGAAAATACAAAAAAAGAAAAAAGTAATCATAGTATCTAATCCTTATGTATGTATATAAAAATCTTATGTATAAAAAACTTTAAAATGTCTTAAGAAACATTTCCCTTTATCACAGTTAAATAGCAAGTTGGCCATTATTGAAAAATAAAAAGTAAAGCCACCAACATTGTGAGGCCCATGGCTTTGGAAGATGGCTTCTAAGCTTGTACCTGAAGATCTTATCTACCTGAATCAAAGGATACACCAGGGCTGGATTTCTACCAGTGCTGCATCTCAGTGTGGTCTTGCACAAGTTGTTTAACCTCTCCAGAGCTCAATTCCACCGCCATTAGCACTTTCCAAACATGTGTTCCAAGGAATATTAATCTCATGAAAAAGAGTTCTGTGGTCAAATTAAGCAAGAAACTGCAGCACACACTTTCTCCTCTTTGGGAGATTCACAGTGCACATGAGCATTATGAATGACTCTGAGAGGTACATTAGTTTAACTTTATATCAATCTTAGCTGACCTGAGAGTACCTTTACTGACCAACACTCGGTAGTATCCTGTGAGCTGTACTTTGGAAAACACTGGTCCAGCATGTCTCAGGTCTCTTTTAGGACTTATACTGATGAAAATATAGAAAGAGTGTTGCAGAGTCTTCTGACACAGGTTCAGGGGATTAAGAGCGGATTTAGGGCCCTGGTTTTGACAAAGCACCTGTTCACGCTTATTAGTCCCTTGAAGAACAACGCCATTCCCCTGTTCCTAATGAAAGCCTTCATTCAAGGAAGGTGGTAGTGGCTGTCACAGAATCTTGGTATCCACCTACAGTACAGTAAATAGCAGAACTCACCAAGAATGTTAAGTTATCTTCAAAATGGGTTAGTTTTCCTTTCCAGAATGACTTGTTTTTCTCCACAGCAAATGTTTTTGCCACTGTTCACTAGAACAGTTCTGCCTAACTTTAATAGAATCCCTACCCTTTGCCCACTTCCTTGTCCAGAATGAAGTCAACTTGAAGGTCGCATGTCAGGCAGTACTTGGGTTAAAGAGCTGCTCTTCCAAGAAGGCACCCCCAAGGCCATACTGCTCTTCATGCAGACTGATTTCTTCAGGTGACAAGTGGCTTCCTCCAAGAACAAAGTCTGCAAATTTTCTAGGAGTGTGAAGTCTGGAGACCACCAGCCACGAGGGGAAGTCGGGTTTTCAGCAGGCCCAGCGCAGCTCCTCCAGAGCGCTGTTCGTTTCAGCATCAGCTTGCTCCCTATACTCGTCTTCTGTAAGATACTTCACCACCAGCTCTTTCGATGTAAACCACTGCTTTATTTTCCACCTCATATAACTGAATGCTCTCAGTGGGTAGTGCAGACTCCAGGAGGACATGAGGAGGATTATGGCTGCATAGGCAAACTGAGGCACGGCCACACCAGCATAGACCAGAACCAGGGAGAGGAGTCATAGTGTCCACATCAGAAGACTTCTGCTCCTGTCATCTAATACATATATCCTGTTTTCATACCACAGCCACTTCAGATCTTCCATCAACTGGCACACAACATAAACTGAAGCAAACCAACAACCAACCATTAGAGCCCAAAAGGTGCTATACTTCGGAATGAATCGTTTCACCAACAGCAAGACAAAGACTGATGTCATTAGAACACCTAGCACAGTTCCCGAAGAGTAATAGAAAGTAGGGCTTTGACTCAGGGTCTCTGCATAAAAGGAAAGAAAAACTCCTGCCACAAACACAAGGAAGAGTTTGAAATCCATGATGTTTCGATTCACATGTATCATATAGTTAAATATCTTCCTGACAGACTCCACAGAAAAGCACACAGTCTCTCCATATGGATTGATGATTATGGTTATTTCATTACATTCTTTTGGTATCCAAAAGTTATGAATCACACATTTGATAAAAGATAAAATGGTTTCTGGATATTGGCAATTATGTCTTTCTGTGATGTATACAATTCTGAACAGGCCTGAACTGGTAATTTTCACCTGCATAGTCGACCATATGTATTTCCACTCCACTTGGGAATTTTGATTGTAGCAGTAACAGTCTGACTCAGACGTTCTAATTAAATCTTTTTCCTTCAAAGCTTTACACCTACGAACTGACAACGCCGCCGCCGCCGCCTTCCCCCGCACGGGCAGTGTGGCCAGGGGCGGCAGCCAGAGCAGCAGCCACCACCGCCCCTGGCACGGCCCCATTTCGTTAGGGGTCAGCTCCGTGCGACCCCGAGCCCTAGGGGACCGGCTCCGCTGCGAGGAGCAGAAGTGGCGCCGAGTTCTCTTTCTTTTGAACTCATGGGTTTTCTCTGACCTTGAGTGTATAACAGTTGTCTTTTGAAGAAAGTAAAGACTTCTATACCCTCCTTTTTATCTTGTTTCTGAGATGTTTTAAAATGTTAAAACATTAGAACCACAGTTATTTTTCCTGCAGAATTTATACCATTTGTCATTTCTAAAATTTCACTTTTATGAAATCAGTAGCAAAATCTAAAGAGGTTACACAAATACACTTTTATTTTCAATGTTTAAATCAGGTGTTGCAAATTTTTGTCTTTCTAATTTATTTATTAGTATTCTGGGATATAACTTTGTTATTGTGGATTATTCATTAAGTAGAATCTAGTTCAATTGGTTAAAGATTAGAATGAAGGCTTACTTATGCTGATAAAGAGACCTGTGACTTTTCACATATATAGATTATTGAATTTTCATTTGGTGTTAATAATTTTTTTAGTTACAGCCTTGTTATATAAATGCATACAATAAATTCTCATTTATCCAGAGTAGCTAGGAAATAGGGGTTTCTCTTTAATTACATTTTCAAAAGAGGAAGCGAGCATTGTACATGGAATATGTATACTCATCTCGCCTCTGTGATAGTCCTTTTGAGAATAGCATTTATTACTTACTTTGAATTTTGACACCACCCTGCCCAGTGACGGAAGCTTTGTGACTACTAAAAAAAAATAATAATTGATTAACTGCTACCTTTTTTACAGATTCATTCTAATTCTCCTTGGTGGCTAAATGTGATCCACAGAGCAATAGAATTTACTATTGATGAGGAGCTTGTTCAGCGAGTGCGAAATGAAATAACCAGCAACTACAAGCAACAAACTGGCAAGCTTTCTATGTCAGAGAAGTAAGAAAACAGGAAGAAAAAGTGTCTATCATAACTTTAAAAGCAAAGAAATCCTTGTATTTTTTAGTTTCTAATTTTTCATTATTACTGACTTTTTTCCTCCATTCATAAACTTATACACACATTCATACTTCTTTTTTGCAGCCTTTTTTATGGGTACTATAATTGGGTTTAACTCACAACTGCCACATACCTTTGTTACTTTAATTACTTTAATATTTTACACTTCATAATGTGAGCACATTAGTAGAAATTATACAGGAAAAGTGCTTGGCAAAGTGCCTCGTATATAGTGCATAATTACAGATTTAATTAAATGTATATACATATATTTATATTCAACCAAGGAATATAACTCTTAGCCATTTTTCTTCTTTCTTCCCAATTTTCTGCTTTTATGTTTCATCCTGCAGGCACCTCATATAGAGCAAGGATGTCAGGAGGGCTATCTGTAGTCAGGCTTAAAACGGAAGAATGGGGCAGTCGTACACTTTCAAAGATATCTGAGACAGAGACATACATTTTTCCTGCTCTTTTTCAGTTCCTGATCACAGGACTATCAAATTTTTTTGGTGTCTTTTACAGTAGACAGCCCAATATTATACTTTGAATACACTGAAGGAAAACTCAGTCAAATGTTGCTGGTTTAAAAAAAAAACAAACAAACAGCAAACAGTTTCTTTAACACTTTGTTTGGCAACTGTTTTCTGAATTTGAGGAAATTGACCTATTATTCTTTTCTTTGTGTTGTGTGTGGTGCTGGTGTGGGAATCAGGTTCCGTGATTGCAGAGGTCTTCAGTTCTTACTTACAACACAAATGGAAGAGCTAAATAAATGCCAGAAGCTAGTAAGAGAGGCTGTAAAAAACCTGGAGGGACCTCCATCTCGTAATGTTATTGAGTCTGCAACAGTCTGCCACCTCCGACCAGCCAGACTTCCTCTCAACTGGTAGGTAATGGAAGAAATCATACAATGAAATGGTACTATTTCTTTAAGTTAGATTTCTTAGAGAAGAAACAATTGACTCATATAGTAAAGGTTTTTTCGTTTTAATTGAGACGGAAGTAGAAAGAGATGTATCAATCTAATTTAAAAAAAATTAAGTCTCAAGGACAAGGTATGAAAAACCATGTGATTTCTTTTTTCTAAAATGTCGTATCTAGTAGAAAGAGAAATGAAATTAAAATATTAAGCTTCTCCTTAAAATTATCAGATTGCTGGTTATTTTTGTGAATGTTTCTCTGTTAATCTTCTTTTTCAGCTGTGTCTTTTGTAAAGCTGATGAATTGTTCACAGAGTATGAATCAAAGCTGTTTTCCAACACGTAAGTTCTCTATTTGATTATTACCTGTCAAGAAAATGAAACATTTTTCAAGACTCAGTATTTGATATGACTATATTTTCCCCCACAGTAACCTTTATTATATTGTTTCTTTAATTAAATTGATGAGTACACCTTTGGCATTTTGATTGTTTAATATGCCCAATTTTACCTATCCAGAAGTTACCCCCTAAATGTTCTTAGTGTAGTAATATATAATTAATTGAGGTGCAGTTTTGGGGAGTGGTAAAATCCCAGACTCTAGAGTCCAATGGATTTGAATTATACAGATTTTACTAGCATTTTACTGCTATTCGAGGTAGAACTTATAGTGTCTGGCATAACTTCTTCAAGAATAAAGAATGACACAATCAAATATGTTATTACTTTAATAAAACCGTAAGTAAACATTGTCACAAACACCTGGATTCTCAGAGGGAAGCTTGTTAGAATAATAAATGTGTCCACTTTCATCCAGTTATGTTACTATTCTGTTTTAGGTCATATCTGTTTCTGTTATTACTGAAGTAAATAATACATTTCTTCATGTTTCTATCCAAATTCTGTTCATTCATCTCCAACAGATATAACTTCTCTAGAATAGAAATTTTCCCCACATGTTTCCTTGCCAAGCATTCACTTCTGCATGTGAAGGAAGAAAACAAGATTTTTGTGTTGTGTTATGGCAAATGAATCAGTAGTCTTTTTGTTTACTACAGTCTACATGATAGAATTAAAAAAAAAAAAAAAACTGGCCAAATTTATGATGTTTTCAGCTTTTCCAGGGTTGCTTTGTTTTTTCAAAAGACTTCCAAACATGTTCTTTTAGAACTTACATTTTATGGAAAACAGTATGGCGATTCCTCAAGGATCTAGAACTAGATGTACCATATGACCCAGCCATCCCATTACTGGGTATATACCCAAAGGATTATAAATCATGCTGCTATAAAGACACATGCACACGTATGTTTATTGCAGCACTATTCACAATAGCAAAGACTTGGAATCAACCCAGATGTCCATCAGTGACAGACTGGATTAAGAAAATGTGGCACATATACACCATGGAATACTATGCAGCCATAAAAAAGGATGAGTTTGTGTCCTTTGTAGGGACATGGATGCAGCTGGAAACCATCATTCTTAGCAAACTATCACAAGAACACAAAACCAAACACCGCATGTTCTCACTCATAGGTGGGAACTGAACAATGAGATCACTTGGACTCGGGAAGGGGAACATCACACACCGGGGCCTATCATGGGGAGGGGGGAGGGGGGAGGGATTGCATTAGGAGTTATACCTGATGTAAATGACGAGTTGATGGGTGCTGACAAGTTGATGGGTGCAGCACAGCAACATGGCACAAGTAGACATATGTAACAAACCTGCACGTTATGCATGTACCCTAGAACTTAAAGTATAATCATAATAAAAATAAATAAAAAATAAAATAAAAAATAAAAAAAAAAGAAAGTTGTTGAAGTTACTGACCCTGCTTCTGTATTTGCTTTGCAATATCACTCATTTACAGTGCTTTTCACTCACTGATAGCAGTTACTGTTGTTTTGTTCTGTTATGTTTTCAGAGTCAAAGGCCAGACTGCAATATTTGAGGAGATGATAGAAGATGAAGAAGGACTCGTGGATGATCGAGCACCTACCACCACCCGGGGTCTCTGGGCAATAAGTGAGACAGAGCGATCTATGAAAGCAATACTATCATTTGCAAAATCACATAGGTTTGATGTTGAATTCGTTGATGAAGGAAGCACTTCAATGGATCTCTTTGAAGCATGGAAGAAGGAATATAAGGTATAGTATTTTAAAACTTCCTTCCAAAATTAAAAATTCCTTCTTTTTTACATCAATTTTGGCTGCTACTTTTTCTCTCTCTCTAGTTTTTTAAAATCTTCTTTTCGGATTGGGGTGGCATAATTTCTCTTTGCCTAAAATGTGATTGTTGTAATAAAGGATAGCAAATACCATAATACTCAAATAAAGACATTCTAGTTATTAAACTACTATAAGAAAATCATTATTAAACTGGAACTTATATGAAACTTTTTGTTTAGCCATGAAAGTGTTTTCATTCTATTATTAGCTTGATCTTCCACTGCTATTGTATGAAATTAGAGCTTTGTTTTCGTTCTGTGAATAAGAAGCAAGTACCAACTACCTTAAAGACTGGGGAACATAGTAAATACTTCTCATCCTATAAGTCTGGAAACCATTCCAATGAATAAAGACCAATATGCCCTTTCATATTTGTACTTTAATGATTCCATCATATTAAAACTCTGTACTTGATATTTCATATTCATTAATTTTCAATTATTGTTTTATTTGGATTAGTTATCCATTGTACTGCTTTGCAGATGAGATAGGTAAAGGAAGGAAAGAAGTGTTTTATTTATAATGACATATTTTTATTCAATTTCTTTTTTTTAAAGTCTTGCTTTTTTAAAGTAGGATAAAAATTTTTATGCAGAAAGGTAGTTATTTGTGCTATCAGTTCATATGTCATAAATTGGGGAATACTTTTATAGCATCGAAATCATTGGTTTATAATAATTTTTTTCTCACACATTACTCTTGTGAATACAAAGCAGATTAACACAGTTAATTACAGTAAGCTTTGGAAGAAGTGTTATGTACGATGTGCGGTTTCCCTTGTATTCCTCCTTTCGACTCAGTTTGGCCACATGCCCTTTATCCAGAAGAGAGCTTATTGTGCAGTTCTCCCAGGTCTTGGTACATTTTTTTTGTACATAACTTTGCAGACCTTTTCACAGAAGAGCAACTTGAATGAGGTCCTGCTATGCATATCCACCAGATCTACCTGAAAATGTAAAGTCAGTGAAGAGAGCCTGTCAAAAAATGCATACTGATTGATACCATTTCTGTGAATTTCAGAAACATATATAACTGAATTATTAAGAATACGTTTCATATAGTGTAAGTGCAGTGAAAAGTGTAGCAGAATAAGTACAATTCAGAATAGTGGTTGCTCCATCGTTAGGTATTGAAGGAGGGATATGTGAGGAAAGAGTGATACAGTTGAGAAAGAACACGCAGAGCCTTTCTAAGGAATTCATATTATTCTTTCTTAAATTAGATGGTGGGTACTTGATTGTATATTTTAGTATTCTTCATGCCATTTATACATAGTTGAATATGTGAAATATGTTATAAAAACATTTTAAAAAAATAAAACAGAGAAGAGATTCTGGTAGCCTATAATTGGACTTTATAAAGATTTTTGGTCCTACCAAGAAATCTTTGTATTCTGTTCCTGAGAATCTGAAGAGGCAGTGTCCTATAGAGATTTTTTCATTCACATTTCATTCTAAAAATGACCCCAGGAACTACTTGTTTTAGACACATAGAGAAAAAATGTGAGATCTCATTGAAGATGTTTGCTTAAGGCACATCTTGGTGATTTTAACCAGTTTTAATTACATGCTTTACCACTGTGTTTGTCTTTTCTGTTCAGTTGCTTCATGAATATTGGATGGCTCTGAGGAATCGTGTGTCTGCTGTTGATGAACTTGCAATGGCTACAGAACGACTAAGAGTGCGTGATCCTAGGGAGCCAAAGCCTAATCCGCCTGTTCTTCATATCATTGAACCACACGAGGTAATTGGCAAGTAAATCACAGAAAAGGGAACAGCAAGCAGATGTCACAGATATCAGAGACCCATAGAAGAGGCAGAATCAGGGCGCTGAGCTCTACTATAAGTGTGTATTTAATCTCCATTTTTAATTTGACCCATAGAAAATTGTCTTTGTAGATCAAAAATGGTCGAAGATGAGCGATTTCGTATCTATTACATGCTTAGCATTTTGGTGCATCTTGTTTCTCTCCAGGTTGCACGTTCATCTGTTTTTGAATTTAAAACCTTATATGTGCTATTAAGACCAATGGATATTCTCAGTCACTTTTTAGACATTTTCTGTTACCTTAGTTTTATCAGAACTAGAAAAATCTTCCTTAAAAACAACTGAAACCTTTTCTTTTGCAGTGTTTCTTTTGCTAATGATGAACTAATATTAACAACTTTACCTTCTAATAAATTTGTCTTTGTAACTCAGGTTTAAAAACAGTACTCCACCAATCTTTTTTATTCTCCATTAAAAGATATTATTTCCTTTATAATTCATTATTCCTTATTTGTTTAGTGCTTTAAGTCTTTCTGTACAGCTTGGAGACTGTAATTTGGAAAAATTTAGATATATTCATTATATACTATCTCACTTAAATGTGAATTCTGAATAAGTTTTTCTGAGAAAATACATTCTTGTTTGAGTGTTCCTTCTCTGTCTGCTGTATTCTACCAGGGGGACAGAGGAAAGAAGGGCAGAGAAATTCTTTCCTGGATTTCATGAAATCACTGAGGCCAGAGCAACAAATCATGTAACTTTTCTTTATTCCATGGATGTATTACTGAAAAAAATGGTACATAATAGAATTTGAGTTTATTTTTTATCTAACTTCAGGTACACAGGGACATTTCCTATTTGAAAGAACTCTGCACTGAATTGTGCCTTTCATGAAGCAAAAAAAAAAGAAGTCATTTGAAGTATATTATCTAGTATCCATTTTGAAAACTTGTGGTTTAGAATGTAAATGGGTTTTTTTTAAAAACAGAACATTTGTGTTACTGGAGAATTGTTCATATTTAATATAATTTAACTGTCTTTCTGAAAGAATAAAGAAGTTTTTATTTTCTTTAGGTAGAACAAAACCGAATAAAACTACTAAATGATAAAGCTGTTGCTACATCACAGCTTCAGAAAAAACTTGGGCAGCTTCTTTACCTAACTAATTTGGAGAAGGTATTGTTTTTAAGACATGCTACTTTTTCCTATGCTGTATTATCATAAACGATTTTAGTGACTCCTTTCATAATGGTGCAAATTTTTTAAATTAATATTTTGTGTTATATGAGTCCAAACACTAACTATGTCTCTACAATAGCTACAGAGATCACAGAAGAATATTGTATCTATAGAAATTATATTATGCAGATGATATAGAAGGCATGCACTGTATAGTAGAGAACAATGTAAATGGACTGTAGTTCAAAGCCTTGAATAGTAAAAGTATTACAACATATCTCTTGGTGAAAATGGCATAATACAATTTATACACATGCATTCATTTGTAAATACAAAAATATTTTGTAATTTGTTATTTGAAACTGTGAAGTGTGTTTGGAAAGCTACTAAATCAGAGTACATGGTAATAAAGGTAGACTTAAAATATTAAGTGTAATTCAAAACACATGTTCTGAGTTGTGATCTAAGTATTATATTGGACACTGATGAATTGGTGGGTCATTGATTAAGTATAATTTCATTTTATTGCAGGCATTCATATTTTGCTAGTTGACAGAGAACCTTCTAGGGGCAAGATATAGTAGTAAATATTTGGATAGGGCAAGTGAGGACAAGCCACAGATTTGAATTCTTCTGGAAACTGGCATAACATATATTTAAGTGAATCAGTAAATCTCAGACAAAATTAAAAGTTAGACATTCATTATAGGTTTAGCATGGCGACTAAGAAGATAGACTTTGGATCTGGACAGCCCAATTTTGAATCATGACTCCACTATTTTCTAGATATGTGACTTTATTTAAGTTATTCACCTTTCCGCGCATCATCAGTAAAATGAGAATGATATCAACACTACTTCATAGTATAGGGCTGTCTTGAGGATTATGTGAATTAATGTATGTAAAATGCCAGAGTAGTTTCTGCTCTGTTAAGCACTTTCTAGGTTTTTGCTGCTATTAATATTATTAAGATCATTATTACTGTTATGATTACCAACACTTGTTCTGAAAGGTAAAAAGAAGAAAAACATTTAAAAGTTTCATGCAAATTGCTAACATTAAGAAGATAACACTTAGGCTGGGCATGGTGGCTCAGCACTTTGGGAGGCCAAGGAGTTTGAGACCATGCTGACCAACATGGTGAAACCCCATCTCTACTAAAGATACAAAAAATTAGCCGGCATGGTAGCACACGCCTGTAATCCCAGCTACTCGGGAGGCTGAGGCAGGAGAATCACTTGAACCTGGGAAGCAGAGGTTGCAGTGAGTTGAGATCGCGCCATTGCACTCCAGCCTAGGGGACAGAGCGAGACTCCATCTCAAAAAAAAAAAAAAAAAAAAGATAACACTTAGGAAAGTGTCTCAACATTCCTGGGCATAAGTTTTTTAAATGTAAGATTTCTATACTTTAAATATGATAGTCAAAATAAAAAGACAGTTATCTTGTACGTCATTGTTTATATGTTAAAATATTTTTAAAATTTTAAGGATATAAATAATCTACCTAAGAAAATCCATTTGGCTATTAATAAAAGAAAAAGCATTTAATCTATGATGATGGAAAAATCAAATTACACGGGTGCTATTTTCTGCCAACAAGTAGGCACAGATATTTTAAATGATTACACACCCCAGTGGTGAAAAAGGGCAGGGAATGGATGCATTTTATGCATTACCAATGGAAATATAAATTTATATAAGCTTTTCCTAAAAGCACTTTAACAATATCTATCAACAATTTTATGTAGGTTGAACATCTCATATCTAAAACTTGAAATGCTCCAGTGAGCATTTCCTTTGAGTATTGCATCAGCACTCAAAAAGTTTATGATTTTAGAGTGTTCTAGATTACAGATTTTTGGATTTGAATGCTCAACCTGTATGTGAAAGAAAGGAAAAGGAAAACTGGACAACATAGATAAAACGAACTGGAATCTACACGGTAGGATTAAATGGACATTATAGAACTGCAGAAATACAGTATCTGAAATCAAAAACTAATTGAATGGAAACCAGATACAGAAAAAAACAGGATTCATGAATTCAGGTATAGTACAATAGAAAATACCCGATTTGAAGTGGCATAGATAGAAAAAGAGCAAAATAGGGCAAAAGATTTGAGACACAGTTGTTTGATCTAGCATACTTGTAATTTCATAGATCTAGCATACTTATAATTGAAGTTCAAGAGGAAGAGAATAGGACAGGAGCTTGAAGAGATAATGGCTGAGAATTTTCTAAAACTGATAAAAGTATGACAAATGACTTAAAGATTCAAGAAGTTAAGAAACACTAAGCAGAATAAGTAAAGAAAAAAACAAAATACTGCCTAGGTACATCATAGTCAAACTGCTGGAAACCAAAAATAATGAAAAATAGAAATAAAAAAAGTTGAGGGATAAAACACTTAATACTTACAAAGGAGCACTAATAAAACTGGTGACTACGTACAGATGTTTTTCTTTTCACCTTTAGAGATGTTTCAGTGTTTCCATAGTTTAACCAGTTGACATTGGAACATCTTCAAACTGCTAAAAGAAAAAAAACAGCCAAGCTAAAGTTCTATACTTAATGAAAATTTCCTTTTTTAAAAAAAGTAAAATGAAGATATTTTCAGACAAACATAAACTGGAAGAAGTCATCTCCAATAAACCCACATCACAATAAGTATTAAAGGAGCTTCTTTGAAGGAAAAATGTTTCAGATTGAAGGATGCAATTACAGTAAGGAATGAAGAGCAAGAGCTTAAATACGTGAATAAATATGCAAGGATATTGACTATTTAAAAGCAACAGTGCTGTCTTATGGGTTATGCAACATATATAGAACTAAAATATATGTCAGTAGCACAAAGGAAGGAGGTAAGCAGAGGTAAACTATTATAAGATTCCTCCAGAGGAATGGACAAAAAAGTCCGTAAGGCTATTGATCATTTGAACACTAATGAACAAATATGACCCAATTGACACAGACCACTACACCCAACAACTTCAGAATGCATATTTTTTAGGTGTATATGGAACATTTATCAAAATAGACCTTATGCTAATTCAAAAAGCAGCTCTTAAAAGTATGTGAGAGCATGTTTTCTGACTGAAGAGGAATTTAAACCAGAAATCAGTAATGGAAAGGCAACTAGATAAATCCCTAAAAGTTTAGAAATTGAGAGGATACTTCCGAATCACCCATGGGTCAAAGAAGAAGTCGAAATGGAGGTTAGAGAATGCTCTGAACTGAGTGAAAGTAAAAATATGTGACAGTGCTTAGAGGAAAATTTATAACTTGTTTAACTTAAGGATCTGCAAATTATCATGCATGGGAAAAATTCATCCCACTACCTTTTTTCGTAAGTAAAGTTTTATTGGAATATAGCCACACTCATTCATTTATCTATTGTCTGTGGCTGTATTCATGCCACAGTAGCAGAATTGAGTAGTTACAACACAGATCATATGGCCCACAAGGCCTAAAATATTTATAATCTCACTGTTTACATACATGTCAACTCTTTATTGACATATTGGAAAAGAAGAGCTATTGTGAATTATGGTAGATTATTTACGAAGTGCTACAGCAATGACCCTCCCATTCTTGTTGCCCTTTGGAACTCTGTGAGACTATCTGAAAAAGCCTAGTTTACTTTCTTGAGCAGCAGAACCCTCAGCTCAGCCCTCCCTGCAGAACAGATAGCCTACCAACTGCCAAACATGAGCATGAGGCCTTCATAGACCATCCAACCCCAGCCAACTCAGCCCATCCCCAAATCACCTGTAGTATCATGGGAAACATGTTTGTTTTAAGTCACTAAATTTGTAGGTGATTTATTATATGTAAAAAGGAAAACTGGACAACATAGTAAAACGAATCGGAATCTATATGGTAAGAACAAATGGACATTATAGAACTGTAAAATATATACATACATTATTGATTTACTTATAAAAATCAATAATTAACAGAGGAAAAGAATAATTCATTGATTCAATTTGTTTAGATGCCTTATCTGAAAATCTGTTACCTGAAATGCTCCGATGAGCGTTTACCTTGATTGTCATGTCAGCACTCAAATAGTTTGGATTTTGGAGCATCAGATTTCGGATTTTGGATTAGGAATATTCAATCTTTATGATTAAAATTGTTTTTTTTTCCACTCCTTGAATAAATGATATTTGTAAGTAAGTCTCAGGAATAATAATGTTAGGTAATATATTGATGGGTCATCTACATTGTTAGATTATGTAAATTATAATTGCCAGTATTCATTTCCATAAATGAGTTACAAAACATGGATCAGGTTTTATATGTAAAAATGTAACTAATATATTTTTAAATTCTTTTTTGGATAGTCTCAAGACAAAACATCGGGAGGTATTAATCCAGAACCTTGTCCAATCTGTGCTCGACAGCTGGGAAAACAGGTAAAATTATAATAAACATCAGATGCATTTATAAAATACCTTATGGTTTTCAAAGGTTTCTACATAAAATTTTTCTTTTGCTCTCTCTCGTTTTTCCCACCACTAGTTTCTATGAAAGGCAAGTATTACCATTATCTTAAAGATAGCACTAGAGGTTAGGTGACATGCTTAGGGTAAGATATTTGAGCAATGCTTTTCTGAAATGGGAAGTGAAAAAATATTTCTAGAATGACCCCATCTTTTTCATTAAAGATGCATAGTTTTGAACATTGTTTCCAGTCACAAGGTTGTGTCCAGTAATTTGACTTTGTCGGGTTAATATAGTTATTCAGTAATTATACAGAAATGTAATATAACACACATAGACTTACTTAAGGAATTACATTAGTATAGAATCACAGTTCTTACTTGCCAGTATTAATATCTCATAATACTTGTACTTTAGAGTACAAATTAATATCTCCTACGGAAATTTAGATGTGATTTTGGTAGACCACTTAAATATATTTCTTTGTGAATATTAATATACATAATGTTCATAAACATTCTTTAGGAGAACTGCAATTTATGAAAATACAAGTTTCTGCTTTCTATGATAAATCTATATATATATGTATCAGAATATTCATTGCCCTTGAAAATTTGAAAGATAAGCCTATTATTGTTGAAGAAGTAGAGATATTCTTGGCTGTTTTTTTCTATGGAACCGAGAGATGAAAGGTAAATATATGCATTCCATATTCTGACCAGTAATAATCAAGAAGAAAGTACCTTTTGGTTTCCAAGATTGGTGGAGAAGGTGAGATCACAAGAATATGTGGTAATACATCTTAAAGGGAAAGATGCTACATTGGAAACTGAGCAAATAGTAGTGTACAAATGCTGGTGACTTCTGACAAAAGTCAGTGATGAAACTGTGATAAAAGTTGTGATAAAAATGGAAGAAATCATGACATAAAGTAGTCTTTTTTGCTTTTAGTTTTGATAAGATTTATGCAACTAGAATGTCTCAGACATTTTATTTCATTTTGTCTTAAACATTTTCAGTTTTTAAAGTACTTTCATATACAGTAGTTCATTTAATTGTAGCATAACCTAGAAGACCATATTGGATTTCAATAATAGTAACAAAACTACTTTTCAAGCCCTGTTCATATTCACAATGTATAGTAGCTATATATTTTTTTCCTTTTTGGCTCCCCAGTTCCTCCCTTCTTCTAATTTAGAGTTATTAAATTAGAATCTATCAGAGATGACTCATATATACCAGCTGATGCCCCTAGAGGCATTGTCATTTGTCTCTTCTGTTTGGGTCAGTCAGCGTCCTGTCACTCCTAATGCTCAGGTGCCAGGTATCTCATTGCTTCTTCTCCATTGCACATGTAGGTGGACCTGTCTTGACATTTAGTTGGTCCATTTTGAGCTCCATTGAGTCAGAAAACTCCTTTCTAATAGAGTACCCCAGTGGCACTAGAGGTACATAAAGTACAATATAGTGCTGCTCTGTGTCATACAAAAATACTAGTAAAACAGCTCTTCAGTTTCATTAATCTTAACTCCTGTGGACTCTGGCAGAGGTACAGCTAGAGAACAGTAGGAATAGTATTAGCTGATAATAGGCAAAATAGTGGTTTTAAAACCAAGCTTATATACCTCAATTTTCTCTTCTTTTAATGTGAATTCTTTTCCTAAGAGCATCTTAGTTGATCCAGCAAAGAACCTCAAGTGGGCCAGCCTCATACTTTCTTTCCATACATGTGCATATCCTAAAAAAAAAAAAAAAAACAAAAAAACATAGCTTAAGGATTTAGAAGTTTTGTCACTCAAAAGACAGTTTTTCTTATTGTTTTTACCAGATGAAAAAAGTTAAATCTACATTTCTAAGATGCCATAGCTTTTAGAACTTACACCTAGACTAAATCTGTTGCTCTTTTACATCTCTCATTGCCAAAGTCTCCATGGTATGTTGCAGAGATTCACAGAGGATTATTTTATTTTTTTCAGATAGGACAAGGGGTTTCTTAAAAATTTCTTTTTGGCCAAGTGCGGTGGCTCACGCCTATAATCCCATGCCAAGGCGGGTGGATCACGGGGTCAGGAGTTCAAGACCAGTCTGGTCAACGTGGTGAAACCCCTGTCTACTAAAAATACAAAAATTAGCCAGTCGTGGCAGCGAGCACTTGTAATCCCAGCTATTCGGGAGGCTGAGGGACGAAAATCGCTTGAACCCTGGAGGTAGAGGTTGCAAGGTTGCAGTGAGCCAAGACTGCGTCATTTGCACTCCAGCCTGGGTGACAGACCGAGACTATTTAAAAAATAATAATAATTTCTTTTTGGTTGTATTTTAAAAAATATAACCAGAACCACTTTCAAAATAAATTTGAGATACTAACTAACCCATAATTAATTTCTATGTAAGTGCTTTAATTGTGAAAATATAAATCTGTTTTTTAAACTAAATGGAATATGTCGAGTATGATATTAACTCCAAATTAATGTTCTGATTCCCTCTGTTATATCTGTTGTTAGAGTGCTGAAGGACTGATTTACGTTCCTCCCAAATACAGAAATGAGACCACCACCTTTCTACAATGACTATCATGCTCACTTTTAGGATGAACACAACCAAAGATTATGAAAGCTTACTTTGGAATAAAAAATTAATTTAAAGACACAACTTGGCTTTATGACAAAGAATATTAATGTCATAAAATCTTTGGGAAGAAAAATTGTGATTTTCTTCTCCTTTTGATATACTTCTAAGTTGTAAGGCATCTTTGATAGCACTAAGGCTTGTTCTGTTTTCTTCTTAGTGGGCAGTACTGACCTGTGGTCACTGTTTCTGTAATGAATGCATTTCTATAATTATTGAACAATACAGCGTGGGATCTCACAGAAGCTCCATTAAGTGTGCAATCTGCCGCCAGACCACATCTCACAAAGAAATCTCATATGTCTTCACCTCAGAGAAAGCAAACCAGGAGGAGGACATCCCTGTGAAGGTAAAGTAGGTCAGGAACACGTAGAAGCATAGGTAAGGCAATATAATATAGGAAGCAGTATCTGATTAAGAAAGCATGAACATCAGAACGAGCTTGACAGTGAATAGGTAGATGCCACTGTTGTCCATAGATATACTGCCTGAAAGCCTCAGCTTAACCATCTAATTTTTTATTGTGAGAGGAACACAGAATGCTTATTCAAACATAATAGCGATAGTCATGTACACTGTGGCTAAAATGTAACAGCTTAAAATTCCAGTTTCCTATCATCCTCTATAATATTGCTATCCACCACAAGTAGATAGAGGTCTGGTTACATTAAAGATTTATTTAAAGTAAGAGTTTTCCTCATTCTTTTACTCAACCCTGGATCTAAGGAAAAAAGGATGTGTCTAAACAGAAGGATAAAATAAATTGGCTAATGAACACAGCTACAAGATAGATGTAATGTGCTTTTTAAACAGCATGGATTGCTATTTCAGGGTAAAGCCAAATTTTGGCTTTATTTTCCTAATTTTTTTCCGTGCTTCATTCAGAATTTTAAGAAAATTGCTATAATTTGATATCCAGACTGGATCTGTAATTGGATTTACTGCTTTTAAGGGGTATTTAATAAAAAGCCAAGACTATTTTGTCCTTTCTTTTCCTTAAATATGCTTTTTTAATATTTTTTTTCTAACCAAACTTAAACAAAAGACACATCAGTATCTAAATGTAGTAGCAAATGTGGGCTTTAAGGAATAGAGAATGAGAATTAGAGAATGGTGGGGTTGACTCTTAAGCAAGATGAAGTATTCTTTATTCCTTCTTCTGAGTTTTTGATACTCTCTTTTCACTTTTAAGTAATGTGGTTTGTAAGTAGAATCAGCTATAAGTTGAAATTCACTACCAGTAGTTAGGCAGTTATTAGGGTACCCTTCTCCCAAGGAAACTGTAGTTGCGTTAAAGAACTTTTAATTGCTCTTTTTCACTGTTATTTGAGTAAAACCTGAAAATATCAGTCATATTACTCTTTAGTCTGTTGGGATAAACAGAATCCCACAGTTAGAATAAGCGTTCATCCATTCATTCCACACATATATATTGGACATATACTAGCACACAGGCGGTGTGCTAGGCCTCATAGACGCAGCATACACATAAATAAAACAGATATGGTTACTACTCTTGTGGAGATTGGTGAAGGAGTTTGAATTGGGACAAGAAACACAGATGTTAACAAATAATTAATGTGTTATAATTGTGATAAGCACTACAAAAGAACAAAGCTGGAGGCATCACGCTACCTGATTTCAAACTATACTACAAGGCTACAGTAACCAAAACAGAATGGTACTGGTACCAAAACAGACATATAGGCCAATGGAGCAGATGATTTGGCTGATGGCAGCCAATGATTTGGGTAATGGCAGTAGAAATGGAGAGACGTGGGTATATTCTAGACATGTTTAAGGTAAAGATAGTAAGAGAATGTTGGCAGCATTAGTGAAGGAGATTTCATAGATCACCCCTGGTTTCTGATGTGAATAAGCAGTTGGGTAGTGGTATGGCTAATGATACAAGGCATTTGGAAGAAGATACATTTAGACATACCATATTTAAGGTGCCTAAGACATCCAAGTAGAACTGTCCAGAAAAGTGTTGATAAGTGGAGCTGGAGATACAAAATTCAGAGTCACTAACAGAAAAGTTTGCTTCAGATCACGTCCTATGAAGTCCTTAACTTTAAAAGATTGAATCAAGTTGAGAGGGCTGGAAAATGAGAAGGAGCAACCAGGGACTGGCAATCCAGTGGGGTATGCTGGCAACAAAGGCCACAGGGAAGCTCTGCTTCGGTAAGGAGGCAGTAGTTCTGAAGGTGGATCAACTACAGTATGGACTAGTTTGTCTAATGAGGTCACTGATGACTTTAGAAGGAGCTCTTTTAATACAAATGTAGAGGCAGAAAGCAGATTGGGAGGGATTGAGGGATGAGCAGGAAGTCAATAAGTACAAAAAATGCCCAACTGTTTTGTAAATTTAACTGTGAGATAGAAGCAGAATTGTAACCAGAAGATATGAGTACAGAAAGACATCACTTTTTTTTGGTTGTTTTGTTTAAGACAAAAGATTCTTGAGCATGTTTAATCTCCAGTGGAAAAAAAGGATAGACTGAAGATATAGGAGAAAGGATAATTTGTAATATAAGTTTCTTGAAAAGAAGGAGAATGTTGATGTATAGAAAGTAGAGGTTTCATTGAAGTCAAATATCTATTGAGCCCAAAAGATATAAACATAGGTGTTCTTATCTGAGAATGGGAAATTATAGTCATTGCAGAGAGGACAGGTCTGCCAGATGTGACTGTAGAAGTAGGTGACTCAAGTGAGAAGGAGAAGAAAAGATGCCAGAAGATTAAACAGTGAGACCTGAATTTTGGATGAGTTGTCCAGACAGACAGTATGTAATATCTAGAGTTGAGGTATAGAGTAAATTAGGCACCAAAATTCTTAGTGAATGTAGGGTAGGGTTCAGTAAATTATAGCAAAGAGTAGAGTTGGGATAACTGGGCTTCAGGAGGCTCAAAAAATGGAAGTTGTTATACAAATGAGAACTAATGCTCTGAAACCTGCATTTGCGTACCAGCAGTCAAATGCAACACTCAAATCCTTCTTTCAAAAGGGCTGCTGAGAGACCAGTATGTTTAGAGGATAGCCAGGTTCTAATTAGAGCAGGAAAGTGAAGAGCAGTATTTCTACAAGAGGTAGAAAATATGAAACAGTTTGTTTCATGAAATACAAGTTCCAGGGGGCGCCAACGAAAGGTCCAGCAGTGAAAGAAGAAAAGTGAGAGGGTGAACAAGCAGGAAGGAAGTGCAGGACAGTATAGGAGGAACAGAATAGGCAAGGATACGTGATTGAGAGCATCATGACCTAAGGATCATCTAGTCCTGTTCCCTATTGGTGAATCCCCTGAATACATTTTACAGTCAGCCCTGTGTGTCTGTGGATATAGCCAACCATAGATCAAAAATATTTAGAACAGGAAAAATTTCATGAAGTTCTAAAGAGGAGAACTTGAATTTGCAGCATGCTGAGTTTACGTTGAATCCACGCAAATGAAATGATGTGTAGGGATTACATAAGGTAATCTGGAGATGATTTAAAGTATACAGGAGGATGTGTGTATGTTAAATGTAAGTACAGCATCATTTTATACAAGGGCCTTGAGCATCCTGGGATTTTGATATCCACAGGGGTTTTGGAAGCAGTCAGTCCCTCACAGATACTGAGGGAGGACTGAATTTTTAAAGCAAATGCCTAAGAGTTACTGAATGAAGAGGTAGGTGACTTACGGTGCAGCCCTGAGGCATTTGACAGTTACTCTTTATCCTGCCTGCAACACAGAGCTACGCTCCTTCCCAGTCCCTCTCTCTGCCTTTCTTCCCACTCCTATAGTTTCTCTTTTCCTTCCCATAAAGATAGTCTTTCTTAGCCCTTCCTTTTTTCTCTTCATTCTCTTCCTCTGGCCACAGCATCTCAAGGGCCACAGATGGCCTTTGTGGCTAAGAAGAGGTGGCTCACCCTTAGGTAAAAGCATGCATCCCAGTACAAGGAACTGGCGTAAGAAAGAACTGCTGTGTCGGGTTTTGTGCAGAGAGGTTAAGGAAGTGATTGCTCTAGCTACCAGTAAACAGCACAACCTCTACGAAACTGAGTCATTGAGCCCATCAAATCCAAACACCTGTTCATTTTATGGCAACGTTCCTAGACACCCAGGATAGAGATTGGCACAGTTACATGTGCCGTGCTGTTGGAGCAGGGATATCAGTGTATAAATACTGTTTATTGTGCCCTCACTTCTCGCTGTCTTTCATGGGTATTGATGAACACGTGAATTAACTGAAGCATCTTTAAAAAAAATTAAGATTATAGAATTTACTAAAGATAATTTCCCTTTGATAAAAAGATGCACATGTACGTAACACTGAATATTGTATCATTGTGCGGGCAAGTTTTATCCCTCCTCGATGTCCTCACATTGCTTCATGCCATGTTTAGGTTGGCTCTTCGCTGCTTTTTCTGTTACCATTTGTGTCTGCCACATTTGCCTTGTGCTTCCTGTCTCTTCTTCTGACTTCTGTCACATTTCTGCCCTGCTGTCTGTCATGTCCTCCTTGAAACATCTGCTTATTGTATTCTGAGACTTCACCCCTCTCTTGTGACTCTTTGAAACTTCCACATAAAAGGTCATATTGCCTATTTTGGATTTGTATGTAAATAAAGATGGCTGTGTGTAAATAATTAAGGCATTATTTTCAAATTTTAGAACTACTAGTTCCAATTATTTCTAAACTATTTATATTATTGTTGATTATCAAATCCCTGATCTTTAACAAACAATACTGATAAGTAATTTTTTATTTAGTTGAAATATTTATATTTTCTGAAATATGAAATTTATTTCTGAAATGGTTATTTCACTGTATTTATGTCAAGATTCTCAGACATAGCAAACCATATATCATGCATAATGCTTAATCATATAGCTGTTTTGTGGATAAAAGATATTTGGAAAACATAAAACTACTATTTATTAGTAGTAGACATTTTTAAGTAGTATTTCTTGGAAATAAGAGATTTTCCAGTGTAAGGAATGCTGTTGATTGACCATAGATACAAAATGAATACTAGGATCACAAATGTCCTGTTTGGTGGATACACTTAAGTTGAAGACCATTTCTTCCCTAGCAACAGTGTGACAGTATTCCTAAATGACCTTTGGAACCTACTGGGCATCTCACAAAGTAAACAAAATTCCCCTTGCAAGTTCTGACAACTGCCAGGCATTTTGGATGGTGAAGTGGGCCTCCTGGCAGAACATATGGCCCATGTGTCTTGTTCCCTGTGTCTTATGTTTGGCTAGGTTTCATACAAAGCGTTTTGCCAGTGGAAACCCTGACCCTATAATGAACAAGAGTCTTAGATAATAAGAAATTTCTGTCCGGGAGAAAATAGACATA